CCTTGAAATGGCATCTGAATCCAGAAGAGCTTTATCTCAGAGTCCGAAGAATCAACACAACATATCAGCTCTCACGGCACTAACAGAATAGGTCCCTGGTACTCTCCTTCAAACACCTCCTTGTTTGTGTTTAGCATGTGTTCCAGAGTACAGGGGCTTGCTTATTTTCCAACAGACTTCTTAAGAGCAAAGAGTGACTTATTTTTATAGCCTCAGAACACAGAAGTGGTCTATCTTAGGAATTTCATTTATAGCCATGAAATGGGAATTGATTCCTTCCTTACCCATTTATCTCCCTGTATATTCCTTCACACACCCATGATATAGCTAGACAGGACTTTTGTGCTTTCTCATATATCCTTGATGCTGCTTAGATGTCTTTGCTTATGCTAGGCCTTTTGAAATGTCGTTCTATGTGTGCAAATCTTCACCAAGGTGAAATCTGACTGCTGTCTTTCTTGTAGGGCTAGTTTATGAATTAGATGTGATCTTTTCCTTTTATACCCTTTTAGCATTTTGTTTAGAATGCCATTATCCCTTATTATTTCAACCTCAACTATGCATTTACAAGATCTTAAAAAAACTGCCACTGACCTTTTCACACAGTAGGTGCTCAAGGGATTAACTGAATTAAAATTACATTATTTAAATCAGTTTGCTTGTTTTATACAAAGAGGTTAAAGTAATTATGCTTATTCTTCTTCACATGTTATTATGCACAGCACAGATGTATGACAGCACTATTTGTGTCATCTTTTTTACTGAATGTGTACTTTTTGCTCTGATTAATTCTGTTCTATTCATTTGTAAGTAAACTTCTATAAAATGCCCCAAATGAGATTTTTATTTAAATTAATAGAACAATTTAACGGCTTTTAGATATCAAACCAACACTTTTCAATGACATTTAAATGCATTCATATTTGAATGAGTTAACCATGTTAAAAAGTTCAACAGACGTTAAACCTTCATCCATTGTTAAATTCAACAAATGTTTATTCTTTTATCACAGTGTGTAAATATTTTTTTAAGATTTTGTGAAGAATAAATGTTATATATAACTCCTTGAGGAAGGGAGCTTTAAGAAATGCAGCTAGGCTGGAGATGTAGCTCAGTGGTAGGGGGCTGGGCTAGAAGGTTGAGGGTCCAGATTTAATTGCTAGGACTGCAGGCAACAGTGTAGACAGAACAACCTGCATATTGAAGAGGACCATGGAATAAGCCTCAGACAAGTCATAAGGTGCTGCAAAGGTAGTCAGTGAAAAAAGATGTTTTATCTTTTGGAAAAGTCATTAGAATATTCATTTTTCATTTTGTATACCAATTTTTCTAGAACTGATGAAAAGATCCATCACTTGGCCACGCTTTAGTCAGGCTTCTTGAATCTCCTGCTAGGCTCATCTGTGTATTTCCTGATAAAATCCTACTTCAGCAAAAAGTATTAAGCCAGTTTAGCAAAAACTCCCTCATCCTTCACCATCACCTAGATATGTATCATCCTGGCCAATCTTCAGCAAGAATTCTGCTAAGTTGTTGTCAGAGTGTTCTGGAACAATACAGAAGCAAAAGTACAAAAATGAAAAGAACAGGTTTATTAAGTTGAGAACTTAAAAAGGAGCACACAATCCATGGTGGCTGGGCTGTCTCCTTTGACCAGACAGAGAGGCAGAGTTATATGACTGAAGTGGCCCATAGAGTGGATACTGATGACATGTGAGGAACCAACTGGAATTCTCTGTGTGTGCAAACAGGAAGGGGAGTTGCAATTAGGGCTGAAGAAGAAGCAGGAAGTGGTAAGCACTCCTGCTTTGGCCTTCCACCATGTTAGACTACCACCATAATTGTACAGTAATTTATAGTAGGGCAAGAACCTTTCAGTTGGGGCTGGGGATTTAGCTCAGCGGCATAAGCGCCTTGCTTTGCAAGCAGGCAGTTGTGAGTTCGATCCCTGGTACCGATAAAAAGGAAAAGGGCAAATAAAAAAAAAAGAACCTTTCAGTTGGTTTAGCCCGAATCCTTACTTCTTACATTGCCTCTTAGCCATTTCCCATCCGCTGATCCCCACATTGCTTGGTGGCTAAAAATGACCATTTGCCCCGCTGCACTTGAAGCTGAGCCCAATCTCTCTCTCTTGTGCTGCAAGACCCTGTTTTTTTTTTTTTTTTTTTTTTTTTTTTTTTTTTTTGGTCTTTTTCCTTTTTTATCGGTACCAGGGATCAAACTCACGACTGCCTGCTTGCAAGGCAGGTGCTTATGCCGCTGAGCTAAATCCCCAGCCCCCAAGACCCTGTTTTGATGATCTCCATACTTATGGTGAAGGCGCTGAATTTATGTGCTCCTTAATCTTGCTGAAACATATCTTTCATTAACTTTTAGAACCTTTAATATTGAACTATCTTTAGACAAATATGTAAAACAATGGTTTTAAAAATATAATGAAAAATGAAGTACTGGAAATTTAAAATAAATTTACATGAAATTTAACATTAGAATTTTATCAGTGAATTTAAAGAAAAAAATTACCCAAATCTCATCTTGCCACAATTAGTTTTGTGTTTTTCTTTTGTTTTTTGTATATCTGAGATTGCCAATTATTTGTATGTGTCAAAACAGGTAGTTCTCTGTATAGCCAACTTTTAGGTAAAGCCTGACAAGAAGAATACCTTTGTTACAGTATGGGCTTTAATATCTGGCAAAGTTAATTCTGAATGTGGTCTTTGAAAACACAAATCTATTTCCTACTAAACTTACATAAGTTGAGTTTCCTATAATGGAAAAACTAGAGATGCAGACAGCACTAACATCTGAAAAGTTTCTGCCCTAGTATAAATCTCAGGACATTATGGTGGTGCTCTGATGTGGCAGACCACAGCAAAAACAATACTTACCCTGATGACCACTTTCTCCTTGTCCCTTTCCGGTGGTCATGAAAGGTGCTCCAATCAGTTCCTTGCATGTCATCAACACCAGCCCCAACCACCAGTTTCAGTCAGAGGTCACACAACAGTCAGGCCCCTCTGTATCTGGCAGATGAGAATGCCCAACCCCATGACTGGTGCACTCCTCTCCACATCCTCTGTAGAAGCTACTTTTTCTTTCCTTTTGCTCTCTATTGTGCCGGAAAACCCTAACAACATCTATTTCTAGGAGGGCCAAGAGGATTAAATGAAATGATCTATGGGAAGTGTTATTGTCAAGGACAAAAATGTACAACTTAATTACAAGGAAATATGATAAACTGAAACGTGATAGGTTTTAATATGATAAACCTGCATCCTTATCTAATAAAAATGTATTTTTAGAAGTCCTTTTTGCAATAGGTTCTTTGTTGGATGATTTTTTTTTTTGCAGTTTGCTTCTTAATGAACAATCTGTGTACTTCACACATCAGCTGAGACTGTCAACAGTCCCGTTCAGTGCTTGGTCTGTCCTGAAGATATGATACCCTGTTGAGTTTTTTGGCTTAAAATCAATTGATCTTAGGTTGGTTTTAATTTTATCTTCTCAGTGTTGTTCAAACACATATGAGCTGAAAAACTATGTTCTTCTTGCTGATCATTTCATGCATCATTAAATTCCATAACTTTGCAGGGTTAATTTAGTGGGCGAATAGCACAGATAATGAAGCAGTCTCTCCTGCTACCTTTTACAAAATATGTTGAAGTAGGTCTGAAAAGAATTTTCCACAAACATGCAGAAATAACTTTACATTGATGTTTTTATTTTCCTTTGGAAATAATGTTACCTAGAATAATTTTAGAAAAAAAAAAGGACAAAAGTTAAATAAAACTGGAAAAATATATATATACTATTGGAGACCATGAATTCACAATGGCTAATTTTGCATCCTCCCAAAGGTATAAATGGAGGCTTGGGATTAGGGTACCACACTTTTGAGACTTCCTATTAACTCTTGGCCATCCGCTCCTACCCACTGAGACTGAATTAAGACAACTAAAATGAAAAAGGACACTCCAAAGCAAGAGTCTGCTTACCATAAAATCATCTCTTCCCTCTTGAGACATCCCAGTATTATCTACTGCCTGCTGAGTTATCTACCTCCTGAATCTTCCACTAGTCCCTCCTATCATTGTATATATCCATTGCATTGTACACACCAATAAATAGTGGCTGGTTGGAATATCTGGGTCTCTGCCCATCTTGAGGTATTGACCAATAACTCCCATTATCATGCATTACTAAATTTGTCTGTTTCTTATTCTGTCCTTCATTATACCCCTCATAGAGGTAGTTGGGGATCTTGGCCAGATCCCCAATAATACAAACATGTTTTTCAGTGTATGTGTGAGACTTCCATCACTGTGACAAAATATCTGAGAAAATAAACTTTAAAACATTGTGGTGGATGCACAAGGTGAGGCAAAGTTGCTTATTGTGTGGTGGCCAGGAAGCAGAGTGAGAAATGGGCTGGAGTTCTGCTCTTCCCTTAGATGGTACAACTATAATCTCTGTAGCTTCCTCCTATGGAACCTGCATCCAAAAGGTTAACCACCTCCGACCCTCAAACATACGGTTCATTTGGGGACATTTCATGTACAAAGTATAGCAATATATTCCGATTTTGAAATTGACTTATTTTTTAATAAGTTAATAGATGTTACAATCAAGATTTTAAAAATATTACTCAACTTCATTTTGAAAAATATGTGACATCTGTTCATAAATATTACTTTTATAGTCTGAATCTCTATAATGTTCCATTAAAATATACCTGAAGTTATACGAAGGTTTGTCATACCCTTTGCATCTAATAGGAATTTAACGTTTAAAATTTTTCTCATAAAGTATATATGTATATCTTAATTTTTTTATTTAGGAATATAAAAAATACTTTCAATTAGATATTGTGAATAATGATAGTACCCGGGCAAATTATTCATTGAAGACACACTACCTTACCATTCTAATGTGCTGTCAGTTCTTTCCTAAACAGATAAATAAATCATTGCCTCCTCAAAGGAGTTAACAGATCAAGAACATACTAAAAACACTTTATTGTCACTACTACATGCATTAAATATACATTACAAATGCAGTATCCTGTACACTGACGAAAAGTACATTCATTAAGATAAAAGGAAAAAACAACAGCCATAGAAAGGAAAGATGGCCCAGCTAAAATACAAAGTCCTCAAGTCCTGTATGTGTGCCACGGATATTCTACAACCTTTGCATTTCACAAAGGCAAGGATAAATGGTCTGAAGAGATTAAATGCTAGATATTCTATAGAAAGAAAAAAATATTAGCATCCTGGAATAATTTTTATCCCTGGTCCATTTTCTGCCCACTGGAAAAAATTGCACTGTTTTTCCTTCTCCAAAGGACACACAAAAAAATTCCTTCCATTATTAGGTCCGATCTTCAACACTGTTCTCATGATAGAGCGCTTGCCGTGGCTGCAGAATGGGAAAGACAAATCTGCCCACTAGGGGAAAAGAAGAAATAGGATCGTAAACCTTACGCGGAAGTTACAGGGATGCACAGATCATGCCTAGGCTGGTTTGGCTGGTATCATACTGTCTTCACTGCTGCTGTCATTAATTTGATATTGTAAAACAGACCCAAATCATTAGTTGTTCAATTTTTTTTTAAAAAGTTTATTTCTTATAAGAAGTATTCTTTAGACATTTGTTTGACTCACACAAAGAAAGTTATAATTCTGAGTTTTCCTTTAGCTAGAGACATTTTTACAAACATTCTTTCCTTTTAATAAGAATAATTAAGGCTGGGCATGGTGGCACATGCCTGTAATCCCTGTACTTGGGAGGCTGAGGCAGGAGAATTGCTGTGAGTTCAAGGCCATCCTGGGCTACACAGTATTTAAGGCCAGCTGGAACTACATAGTGAGTCTCAAAAAATGAACAAACAAACAAAACAAAACATAACAAAAACTAACAATTGAAAACTACCAGAACATTATAAAGTAACCAGCAATGTTCTTATATAAGTTTTAGTTAAAATGATTAGATCAAGTATTAGATAACTCTAATACTAAGCTTCCTTAATCCTGTAGGGAAAGCCAGAATCCAATAGACTTACTCAGGCAGGGTAAATCAGACAGAGTATATACTATTACTTTTAATCCTATTAATTTTAGCCACAAGACAGGTATGAAAGAAGCTATCATATTATTAGTGACATATAATATTTTTTTCATTCCATCTATAAAGACTTCTGGTGAATTTAGTTGGAGATAGTCACATCTTGTTTAGGATGGAGGTCTAAAATCATTATCAAATCTTTCCTGGAAAATGCTTAATGAAAGTTATCATGATGAAGAGAGATACTTCATTTCTCAGTCCAATCTGAAAAATTTTGTTCCAACACTAAAACAGATCAGTATTTTCTTTCTTTCTTTCTTTCTTTTTTTTTTTTTTTTTGAATACCAGATGAATTGGAACTTGGGAAAATGTGTATTTTAAATATTAGATTCAAACTCAGTATGGTGACACATTTATACCCTTTAGAAATGCAGAAAGTGGGATTGACTAAAGGGACCTGGATTCTTATGTCTACAGAAGATTCATTTTTAGTGATACACCCATAGACTGGAAAGAATTACCTAGAGCTAAATATGGTCAAGCTTATGTAGTAGGATTCACTGAGGTTACTGTAGACCAAAGGCATGTACATTGTTTTTCTCACGTACCTCTATCAAATGTATAAAGCTAGACTTTTGATACAGCAATGAATTGAGAACAAATTCCTATCTTAGATTCTTAATTACATAGCACTACTAGTTCATGTTAACTACTCAATACCATCTTGGTGACCTTAAAGCAATATTTTTACATTTATGTTAATCTGATTATAAATATGATACACTCTAACAATCTAGTGGCTACTCTTTTATCATGATCACTACTTTGCTAAACTTTTGGATTCAATGTTCAAGACTTAGACTGAATACTTACATGGCTGTCTAACATGAAAAGGTAAAACTGAAAAGGCATTGCTGTTTGTTTTAGTCACCTGAAGTCATTTACACCATAGTAAGCTTGATTAATCTTGTACGTACTTCAAAAAATCCACATTGTGCATCTCCAGGGAGTGGACAAGCGTAAAACTGCCTTCCTCTGTTTTCACCATGCTTCCTGACAACACGGAGAACACACAGGCGGTTGTGCTTCCTGCATCGAGGACCGCCGGCATTTGAGGTACAAGGACCATCTGTCATACTAGCTTGGAGTTGGCTGTAATGACAGGTTACAAAATAACTCTAGCGCAATAGTGTTAAAGGGATCATTCTCACCACTTCACCTCTGCACCTGTGAATTCTGCTCACAGGAAAAAACTATATCAAAAGGTTGGCCCTGGTCAACTTTAGTAATTACACAAACTACTGCCATTTTAATTGTTTTAATTCAAACCTATGTATAAATGAAGAGCACAAAATTTAAATTTCTAAGAATAAACAGGTGAATTGTGTATCCAGTAAATCAAATGTTCTTAAATCTTCATTTCTGATACTTGCTTTTTTTAACCTCATGTTACAATGTAGTCATTTGTTTCCTCTAAAATATTGTCAAGTCTAGCTGTTTCTTGCCCCATAAAACAACTAAAATCATGATGTTCTCTAATTGTTTTCTCATGAGTAGAAATTCCTATAAATGGATCTGACAAGGCCACGGAGATCACTCTCTCTACTGTCCACTTAAAAAATAATTTCCTACGCTTTTCTTTGATCAAGGCTACTAAAATAGTTGTCAGCAAGAAACAGCCTGTCTGGAGGAGCAGAAATGTGTATTTTGTAAACCTAGTAGAAAAGCTTTATCTCCTGCACAATTAGAATCAAGAGCATCTGGAGGTCACCTGGATGGAGCAAACAAAGCCCAGGAGGTGATCTTGCACTCTAGTTGGAGAGGAAGACTTTTATCTTTGAAAAAGAACATCCTTATTATTTTTATGTATTTTGAAGTTTCAATAATGTTTTTATAATACTTTTAATCACCTAGTTGGCATATTCACAGTAATTAAAACCAGGGACTGGTAGAGTAGCTCAGTGGTACAGCCTGTGGCACATGCTTAGGGTGCTCAAGGCCCTGTGTTGGGTCCTCAGGATTTAAACTTAAAACAAAAACAAACAAGCAACACAATGAAACCAGAAATCCCTCTTACAAACATTCTTGTTTTTAAACATCTTAATGATAAGATAGTTCACCCTTTCTCAGGTTTGAGAAAATTTCTTTTTCTTTTTTTTTTTTTTTTTTTTTTTTTTTTTGGTCTTTTTCCTTTTTATCGGTACCGGGGATCGAACTCACGACTGCCTGCTTGCAAGGCAGGTCCTTATGCTGCTGAGCTAAATCTCCAGCCCTGAAAATTTCTAAAGAATAAAATATCACTCATATGTAATGTTTTAAAATCCTTAAAAATCAAGTATAGTTTTCCTTGCTTCCCAACTACATTTTTCAGAATACTTTTTTTTTTTCTGTACTGCTGCCTCAGAGGATCATGTCTAATCCCAATATCCAGAGAATGTGATCTTCTGTGGTGAAAGTGGTATAAAGTTGTTTATTCTTTACAATGGATATTTAAATACATTGCTTTAAAAATGTTTGCTGGGATAGATTAAAAAATTCTTAGTGTAGTTCCTGAAGCAATCATTTATAATATAAAAAACAATTGTGGATGCTGCTAAAGTAATCATTTTAAGTTAAATATTTCACCAGCAACTACTTTATTGGTAGCTTTTTCAAGGTGAAAGGTGCTATATTTCAGTCATGGGTAATACCAAATACAAAATAGGAAAACAGAGAATTTCTTTTTTCTTTTTCTTTTCACAATCCTCCTTTCTACCAGCTGCCCCTGAGAGGTAATACTAAAACCTCAACTTCAAGACAAGTTAAATATCTGGGTGGTGGTACAGAAGATAAGCAGTTTCAAAACTCAAATGGTTTCATAAACAGCTTTCAGAGATAAGTTAAAAGAATGAGGTTAAGAATATTACTTGAAGTGAAAAAATGATGCTAATTTAAAATATACCTATGTAAGAACATTTTCTATGTTATTTTAAAGGTGGCTAGAGGCCAGGGATATAGCTCCGTGGCCCAAGGGCCTGCCTGGCAAGTGCAGGGTCATAAGTTTGATCCCTGGGTTCCAGTAAAAAGGTGGTTGGTTGTGTTTGGCAACTTTCACTTCAAAATGTTCCAACCCACTTGCTTCAACCTAGAGATCTGCAGGTTTCCATACATCCAAGAAAAATGCAAATTCTTTACTGCTAAAACTTTTCTTAGGAGAGGGGCAAAGGTGCAGGGTAGGATTAAGGAAAAAAGAAGCACTCCAGTTGTCTTCCCTCTGGTTCATTTCTGTCTCACAGTCTGTTTCTTCCTGAGTGGGAAGCTAAAGGAAAAACTCGTCTTACGCTCGTGAGTCCTTGGTATCAGAGTGTGCTCCACCAAATAGGAACAGTTCTGTCACCACATATAGCTTTGACCCTACTCCAGATCCCTGTGGACCAAGTCTCCAGGTCGACAAGATTCCTAGGGGGTTCATGGGCACATAAAGTTATGATGATGCCACCTGGGATCACATCAGCTCTAAATAGGCACAACTAGTCCTAATTTTATGATAGAAAAATTATCTAGGACAATTAAATGTTCTGCTTAATTGAAGGCATTTTGGCTTCTGTTTCAACTGTTATTTGAAAACTTTCTAAAATATAGCAGAGCATTTTCTTAGATAAATTTTGCATAGAGAATAAATTAGTTTGACAATTAGTATCATCATTTTGAATATTGACTTATAATACCTCAAGAGCTGGCAAACATTTTCAGGTAAGACTCATTTTAGTCTTGTGGGTCTCATGGTCTCTGTGGGAATTACTTAATTCTGTTGCTGGCAACAAGAAGTCATAAAAAAATAATCAAACAAATGGAAATAAAAGTTAGGCTGGATTTGGCTCTTCTGGCTATAGTTTGTAAGAACTCGTCATTATAATCAGGAACAATGCTTGAAGCATCAAAAGATTCTCAGTAAGTGCCTATTAATCAGGAAAATTAAACAGGTCAGATAAAAACTATCATCAGAAAGACAGTACCAAGTACAGATTTATATTTTCAAAATGAATGCTATGTTTATTTTGTTAAACAATCACCTTATCATGGTTTACCTTCCTTGAAATTAGGATAAATTCATTCTAATTCAAATATTACATGGAATGTTTTTGAATTAATCAGTGCTATGTAACATACACTTTATCATCCGAGATAATGTCCAGCATTAAAACAAAACAAAGAAAAGAAGTTAAATGATTCATTCTCCATGTCCCCAGGTGGTCCTGAAGTTCTGAGGGATGAAGAACTGCAAAAGGGTGATCCCACAATAAGCCCAAGGTGTCTCTTCCAAGTCTAGTGATTCCAAGTAGCCAGCCCTTCCATATCGCTAATGGCAGTAGAAAATGCCAGTGATTTTCATAGCATTATTTCCCGCTTCTATGTAAGTTTCTGCATCAACATAGGAAAAAATTCAACCTAGAACTTAAGCTTTCTTTGAAAATGTATTATTGTTTCACTTTGTGTTCATAATAATTGGATGATAGCTTTAAAACTTTTTAGTGGTTATTCTTAAGTGCTTAAAAATTTCTTCATTTATCTAATTTATAATTCAGTAGATGGATAACATTCAGTACATCTAAAAACCAACCCTAAAATATGCTTCATCAACAAAGCACGTATGGTGTGGTGATGAGATCAGTAATTAAGAGAACAAAAGTCAAATTAATTACCCTATAATTATTAAAGAAAAAAATGAACTGGCTATAAATTCTGAGTGGACCACCTGCTTGAATAGTATTATGTTGTTTCTTTTGGTGTCTTGTCCATAAGATAAACACTGTAGCTGCCAAACAAGCAGAAAAATGAAATAAATGACAGTAATTTGCAATTTATTCCTTGTAAAGTAGTTGGGTACAGAAGGGCTACTGGGTAAATTTATTTCATCACTTGAGTTTTATTCTGCTGGTTGATCTTGATTGATTGTGGAGTCTCAGTCTTGGTGTTCTCGTATTCAGTACATACACATGGCTACAGCATTTCTAAGTAACACTGTGCACTGTGATTAATCATATGGTTCTATTACTAATGGTTTATGAAGAAATCATTTAAATTTAAGGTTACATTAATGTTTTTTAAAATCCCTAATTCATTAGTTAAATTGTCAGAGATTTTTTTCAAAAAAGCATTAAGGAAGTAAAAATATACCAACATATTTCATCTGGGTAGAAATGGCACAATATTTTAAATTGATCATTTCCACTACTTTCCACTTAAGCGTCACAAGCAAGAAAGCTGCTCAGAAGTGATTTTCTCCTTCAGGACGGCGTCCTCAGTCTTTCTTTAGCAAAGGCTTCATGATTTCCACCAGGAAACACAAATTATGGTTAAAGTAAAAAGGCGAGGCATTTACTCAGTCAGTTGAAAAGTTTAGTCTCTCAGAGTATAATCCAAATGGGAGTATCACGGACAGAAGTTAAATGGGTTATCATAAATAATTATGTACTGAGTATTTTTAAAAATCAATCAAGAACTAACTGATGGCAAATTTAGAGTTAGAACAGGAAATAGGAGCAAAATCCATGTTTATGAGAAACTGTCACAGAATTGTTATGAAGGAATCCTTAAGGATTCAAAGAGTTTAGTCTAGGAGTGAGTAGCAAGTGGCCCCTCATCCCACTGCCCATTGGAAGACTCTATCAACAATGGAGTAGCTCATTACAGCAAAATCTGCTCATCAAAATTCCACCTGAGATTACTTTAGAGCTACTGAAAGTGCACAAAAAGACATACAAATAAGGTCCTTCAAAAAAAAAAATAAGGTCCTTCATTCATATTATTATATGAGTTTCATTTTAAAATGCTGGATATATGACACCTGATTTTTGAAAAAAAAAGTAGCTTTGGAAAAAAAAATACCTTTTAGATGCAGGCACGATATGAGCTATGATGGTGGACCAGACAAATAGATAGAAGGAAGTGGGTTGAGAAGCATCAACAGACAGGTGCAGGACCTGCCCTCTTCAGTAATGAAAGAGATAACATGTCTATTTTCTGCATCTCAGTGAACAGCAGTGGGGGACTGTGGAATTGCAGCTGGTAATCTTGTAAACCACACTGAGCCTTGTAGTGTTTATTGCATGGAATTAAAAGTTTTTCATTTCATTTCATTAAAAATAGGATGCTTGCTTTTTAGGACTTTTTGGTTGAAGAACACTATCCCACATTGCTGTTTGAAATGCAGCCATGTTTGTTAATAGAAATACCGCTAAAAGCATTTCAGTTTTTCTTTTAAAACAGAGGATACTTACTAAACTTTTATGAATGACAGCTTCTCTTCCAAAAGAATGGCTTCTTTCACTGGAAGAACTACAAACGATCTTTGACTTACAATGGTTTGATTTTGTTAGCTTTATCATATTGTGAAAGCAATAAGACATTCATTAGAAACAATATTTCAAGTTTCGAATCTTGATCTTTTCCCGGGCTGGTGGTAAGCAGTACAATACTGTCTTTTGATACTATGTATTGCCAGGGAATCTCAGCTACTTGATTATCGGTAGAAACAATCAATACTTTACAGTAAGCTATGTAGCTAACTTATGATGTTCAATAGGCTAGATGTATTAAATGCATTTTTCAACTTATGACATTTTCAACTTATGATAGGTTTAAAAATGATAATGGTGGTTACTGATAACAGAAATGATTATGGATGATTTAAAATTTTCTTTATACTTGCCAGTATTTTCCAAATATGATGTAGTGATCATGTATATAGTTAGTGTCACAAAAAAATAACCTTTTATAGATATAGGAAAATGTTTTATATTTTCTTCTCTTGTCTATAATAAGCTGGTGAAGAGAAAGGAGAGTTACTATACTAGTTTTCAAGGTTTTATTTATATTACCAAAATCAATTTAACTGCTTAGCCATAGGTATTCTGCCTTCTTAAAATATATGCAATACAAATACCTTAAAGATCTTAAAAATATCTTAAAACAAGTTTAGGGCAAATGCCTTAAAGACCACGGTTGGAAGTATCATACCTGTTAGAAAATCCAGTGTTGCAACTTTTGAGATCTGGTGTTGAGTAGTGGGTTGTTTTCAATTTTTTATGTGCTGAACTAAATAATTCAGACTGAGAGCAGACTGTAGGAGATGTGTTTACTTTGTTAGATACTTGAGTTATATAGTTTGTTCTCTCCTTGGAGGGGTGCCGTGTATCACTAAAACAAACGTTTGCAGGAAGAGAGTTTTGAAATTCCCCATCTGGTGTCTGGGTTTGGCTTTCTTTTCTTTTCAAAGTATTGGATTTATTGCTAAAATCAGTCAAGACAAGAGTTGTAGTTCCAAATGCAGTTTTCCTGTTAATTTTCACTTCTGCATGTGCTTTCCTGAAGGTATTACAAGGGTACTTCACTAAGTTATGAAAGACTATAGAATTTTCTTCATTCTTGAATACTGAATCTGGAAGGAAAGAGAAGTTATCATGCAATATTCCTAAAAATATATTAACTACTTGAAACATTTTTATCTGATCAAAAAATGTAGTTCAACATATATGTATCTATATTTATATTTATCTGCTAATATGGGCTTAGTTAGCTTGGGCAAGTTATAATTAATCATCTTCTGGTTAGGAATTAAAGAATTATTTAAAATGCAAAGGTTAAAAATTCATACATACCTAAGATGAGGTTAGCAAAGACTTGTATTTGCTTTGAATTATGTTTAAGCATTTAAAAGTTCATCAGCTATCAGCTTTATTAATATTAAGCAAAGCATTAAAATGATAGTAATTAAGAGATGATACTCCACAAAACAGAAACTCTATGTCAACTACCAAGAATGTTTTTATGAATAAGACACAGTAAAAGGCTTAAGAGAAGTAAAGATGAATTAAAAAGACTTCATATTTATTAAACATGTTTTAACAAAATTTTAACAACGTTCTGGAGTTACAGAATCTGTACTGTATTTTAAACTGCAGTGAAGATATATGTCTTTATTCTCAGACAAAAGTAACTAGAAAACAATTTATGAGACTTGTAAAGGCATTTCAGAATGTTGAAATAAATGTGGGAATGGAAGATTGTGGTTTTCTGAGGGCTTTTTTTTTCTGTTGAATGATCATAAAGAAGAAGGAAAAGAAAGAAATAGGAGGCGCAGTCCCTTTGGCTATTAGAAAAGCTGTGCAGGGGGCAACGCCTGCATTGCAGGCCCAGGGAACAAAAGACAATGTGACAGCACACAAAATGTAGGGTCCATAAGTCAAAAACGGACTTTCTCATCTCTAATTGAAGAAAGAAATAACACTTCGAGAACACAATAGAAGCTGCATCAATGAGATGCTTTCTTAATCACAGGTTTCCTCTGAGGTTTTGCATTCTCTGAACGCATGAAATTGTGAGCTATAAAGAGTTATTTTGAAGGATTTCAATGAAATCAGTACAATTGTCTGAGTAAAGATTTTAATAACAAGGGGTAGGAAGGATAAAGAAGAGAAAAAATTCAGCATTTTTCAATTCCACCTGCAAAGACATTCTTACAGAAATCCTCCCTTTCAATTTATGAAACACTTGGACTGAATAACAAACTCAAAAGTTGCTGAAATCTGCATAAAACAAAGCTTTATTGAATAATTCATTAGAAACAGTAGAGAACAGATGCGATCATCTCAGTTTTTTGAGATACAAAGACACACAATGTTTTAGCACAAGCATGTTTTACCTCCCTGCTAAAAAAATATTTTCAACTGAGTACCAGCATAGTTTACATGCAAAGGCAAGCAATTCTTTACACCTTAGAAAGAAAGCACTTAGTTAAAAGTATCAAGACTGAGTGAGAAATATAACTGATCTTATATAATTAACCACCTTCGACATGAATGCAAAATTAAAATCCAGTCTTACCAACAGGCTTTGAGGTGAAGCAAGCATCGCATGTCTCAGCAGAAGGCTTATTTATTAGGGTACACACCAAACAGGTCCATTGCTCTTCTGATTTCCGACCCACTGAGTCAGTCAGATGGTCTCCACTGCTAGGTCTCCAATTAATTATAGTATTTCTAGTGGGCAGTTTGCTAGAAAATGATTTTTAAAATTAAAAGATATGATTGACTTACACATTCTGAGTATTTTAGAAACTATTACAAAACCATTAACATCCCAATTCTATTTACTATTGCTTATGTCATAAAAAAATATTAGATAAGGGCTGGGGATTTAGCTCAGCGGCATAAGTGCTTGCCTTGCAAGCAGGCAGTCCTGAATTCGATCCCCGGTACCGACAAAAAGGAAAAAGACAATATATATATATATATATATATATATATATATATATATATATTAGATAACTTTTGTCTTGAGTACTGCTGATGCTAGTAAGTTAGAAACAAATACAAGTGTTTACTTAAAGAGCAGATTTTTAAAACAGACTGAAAGTGTTTGATGTATCCAGTAGGAAACAGTTTGCAAGTAATATTATTTTTGTACCAGAGATTGAACTCATGACCTGGCGCCTGCCGGGCAGGTGCTTATGCCACAAGTAATATTTTAAGTAAATAGTGCTCTTCAAAGTACAATTAAACTATGATTAGTCACTTAAGTCAAAAAAAGAAAATCTATACCGAAATCAAAGCATTGATAATACAGTTAGAAAATTTTTACATTACTTTATGATCTTAAAAATTCTAGAAAATTTAGCATTTCTTCATGGTATTTATTAAGTACTTTTCAATGACTGGATCTATAATGATAAAAATAATATTTATATTTGTGCTAGTTCTCTTCATGTAAAACTATTTCATATTTTCTAATAATTATTATAAATCTAGTTATTTGGTTAGTAAGAAAACTATAAAACAACCCTGACCTTTGGCCACAGATGTAAATTAATGGAGTTCTTGATTGGCCACTTACTGGTGTACAGAATGCCTTTCTAGAGGTCTGATGCAGTCTTGCTCTCCACTGCACATGTGGAGGTCTGTGTAACACTTCATGTGGTTACGCGATCATGGCCATGTTAGGATTCCTCTCATGTTCTAAACATTAATAGTGAAAAAGCTCTTCCAAGTAAAGCTCTGTATCTTACATTTCAGAACATGAGTTCTTTGACTTTTAAAGGTAGCCTTGACTTCTGTAACATTTTGCTTCTTATATATAATTATGCCAGTTTTTAAAAAGCAGGATTGTCTGGTAAAATAACAAATAGCATAAGAAAATCTGATAGTAAGATACATCTCATTATGATTCTCTTATCTTTACTTAGCTTGACTTTTAATGAGCTGTATTTCTTATTTCTATGGAACACCAGAACTTCTGCTGAATTTGTTTCCCTGACCTAATTCCTGTCCTCTACTAACTCTGAAAAGGAACATGATATATTTATTCAGAATTAAACAAACACAATTTAAGTGACATTTATATTTCAGCTTACTCTGACTTTTCACTATTTTCTTCCTCTTGTGTTCCATAATAAGCTTTATCAATATTGTTCTTTTTCCAGCAATGGGTACATGCTAGTCAAATTCTCTACCAATACCTTTTATTACGTTTTTAAATTTTTTGAGTTAACTTTCTAAGGGACCCAGGGGGGCTTAAACTTGTGATCCTCCTGCATCAGCCTCCTGAGTATCAAATTTGATGTTTATGCCACCGTAACCTGGTCCACAGCTATTAATGCTGGTGTATATGGAGAGTTTTGAAGCACATTCCTTACCCTTCCATATCTTAACAATCCACTAATGAATTCTTTAATCTGCACTGGATAAGTTACTGAAAACTCAAACTTAATATGTTGTAGTAGGCCACGAAATGGCCTCCTAATGATATCAGGTGACAATTCCAGGAAACAATAAATTTGAGTTATTGCAGGTATAATTTAGGGCCATGATCTAGGGAGATTATCTGTATGGTCTCTTAATCCAAACACAAGTAATCTTATAAGACATTTGCACCAGGAGATGATTTGATACACATGGAAGAGAATGCACTGTAAAAACAGGCAAATGTTGTAAGAATGTCGAAAGAGGCAAGGGATGGAGTCCCTCAGAGAAAGCCATTCCTGAACGCACCTTACTTTTGACCCTTAACCCCAGCTCAGCCTCCAAAAAGAGCCCGCGTTCAGTCCCTTTTGGCAGCCCAGCTCTTTTCCCTGGAGCCATTGCCCACTAGCTGTGCCCCTGCTGAGAGCCCTGAGGTTGCTGCTGCCTGCTGATTAAACTGCAGTCCTGCTCCTGCGTAGCAGCCTCAACAGTCCCCATAAGACCCAAGGCAGTTCATGCAGCACCTCTGCTCAGGCCTTCACATGATTTCCCAGCTTTCTCAGTCAAAACTTGTCTCCTTAGCTAGAGATTTTTCAAAATGTACAAGTAAATGCGTTATTTCACACCTTTTCAAAACCCCCCATAGACCTCCGCATTATACACACATTGCATAAAAAGGAAATTGCTTTCTGGGGCCAGACTGACTCCACATGCTCTCTGGTTCATACCTGACTTCTGGTTAGTCGATCTCTGTCTCTTATTTATTATCCAAGACTTTTGGATGGTTACTGCACTACCTTCTTGGAAAACTTTCTTCACCAGTTTTATTCAGAAATCTGCTCAGGGATGTTCTCTTTCTAGAATGGATTCTCCTTGTCACTTTTTATTGCCTACTGAAGTTGCTATTTCTTTAGAGCATTGATCGCTACTTATTTTTGCCTAATATCTTATACATATTGTTTTCTTAAAATCTCTTCCCACTGAAATACAGTAATAACTGAATATTCCATAGATACACGCTTCATACATGAGGTTTACACTCACATTATCTATTAATACTGCTTTGTTAAAGGTTACCTTAATTGTCTAATAAATTAGCCTCGCACAATTTCCACCCTCTAACTCACTCAGTTGAATTTAAATTGCAATTATTTCCCCTCTTGGTTTCTTCCACCTCTTTCATGAGTTGTTTTTCTTCTTTTGATTACCAAAGCTAACCTAGTTAGAGACTCTCTATTGGACTTCCCTCCCTTGTCTCTATGCCATTGGCTCAGTGATAACAAATACTCTGATTCACCTATTATCTCACATGACCCCAAAGTGGGTAACAGGAAGAGTGCACAGTACAAGTGAAGGATGACAGTGTCATTAAGGTGTCTTTGCACTTCTTCAGGAAGACAAGTTACTACCATGGAAAGCAAAATTTTTCTTTGCCCAAATACCAGTATGTGTGAATACTATAAGAATTTACTATCCTAAATCTTAAAGTAAGAGGCTTAAGCAGAAAGCAAAATTTTCTCTACTTGCTCTGTCTTTGGAGAACTCAGACAAGGCTACTTCATGGCTTCCAGTCTCTGAGGCTCTGGTTCCTTCAGCTTTTCTGTTAGTTCTGTGAATTACCCAGACATTCACTTGACTGCGTTCCCTCTTAAATTATCCCCTAAATATGGCAACTACATGAGCTTCCTTCCAAAAGCAAGTTAATTGTGCCAAGACTAACCCATCCTAGGTTTTCATCAGGACTCCTACACACCCTCTGGTAGTTCTGTCCCCTCCAAAATCTTTCCATTAAAACTGCCTTGCAAAGGGCACTATTCTCTCATTAACTGGCAACCATCAGGATGCTTCCAAAGGAGATGGTTTTTAAAAATCTGAATACAGTGCAGTATTTTAAAGGAAACAAACACCTCTCCCTCATCTTATTTTGCAGTCCTCCACATGCACCAGGGATTTTCCCTATGCAATTGCCTGTATGCTGTTTACTTTTTTCTTAAAAATCTTTTGCATGCCTCTGGTCTATGATGAATTCCTGCATTCTTTCACACTAGGCTCAAATGTCTCCTTCTCCATAAAGATTCACTTGCTCTTTTCAGATAGATTTAAGTGTTTCCTCTTCTATGGATTCCTCTTCTAACACTAGTACAACCATATTCACTTATGCAGTTCATCCTGGTGTTTTAATCCTATATTTTCTCATTTATTTCCCAATTTATTTCAGACTTGGAGCACTTTGAGAGCTACATTCTTTCTGTTTTATCTTCCATTCTCAATACTGTCATGTAGATGATAATAAAGCAACTTATATTTTAAAAATTATTTCAAAAATTTAAATTTTAAAATTTCAAAAATTTTAAAAACTCTTCTAAAAGTAAATCTTAGTTTTTCCTAAAGAAACAATACTTGCACACATAAATTACATTAGCTGGTATATAATTAAGGTCCAAAAATAAGTGATGCAGGTATTTAAAATGTGGTGCATAATAAATAAAAACCAGAAAATTTGGGGAGGATTCATCACAGAATTCAGTAAGTATTTAGTGATTGAATGAGCATTTAGGTCATTGCTACTGGGTTTTTTAGAAATTATGATAAAAAATAACTTAAAATAATATTTGGTCAACATGTAAAGTGTTCAAATATTCATTCAAAAATTAATTTAGTTATTAATCATAGTTTAGTTTTACTTTGAAGATTACTACTTACTTAATCATAGAAAGCCTAAAATAGCGACATGGTACCCGTTTCCAGCTTTTTAAGCTATGCTTATTTACTTGGCAATGTATAGTTGTTTTCGAAGCAGTGTTAACTGCATGCCTATATATAAAACAGGATTAGGCCAGAAAGGAGAATTAGAAGGCCTAAACACTTCTGACATAGCATGGCTTTTCCTAAATCATAGATGTGTACTAAATCTCTCTGAAAGAAACTACAGCCTTTAAAAATCCAGTTTAAAGACATCTTTGGAAGTAACAATTATTTATATGATAAATGACTTTATTTGATGATTTGGAGAGTATGGATTTTTTTAAATTTCAGAAGCTACCAATTCGTAAAAAACAAAGATAGCACACTAACCATTTGTTCAGTAGACAAATACATATTGACAGTCTTCTATCTGTCCAACACTGTGTTGACTGCATGTGGTCAAATAAATGTATACCAACCAATGCAGTACTGTGAAAAATGTTCTTGCTCATGAAAAACAAAATCTAAACTGGTACAATGAAAATAATTAATTACTCAGATCTCTGTGCAAGTAAAATGGATGAAGAGGCTGAGAGGAAAGAAATACAAGGAGAAAAGAATTTTTAACAACCAGCTTGAGATATATTGACAAAGCCATGAGTTATAGGACCTCCACTGTGCACTGTCTCCGTGCTTTGCCCCTGAGTGCATGATGGCCAGACCTTCTTCTCTGGGCATCTGCTCAGCCAAGAAGTACCCCAGTTGTCTTTCTATTTCCAATCACATTTTCTTTGTGTATTCTTTCCTCCTATTCTATAGGCATGTGGTTTTCCTGAAGCTCACACCTTGTTTAAATCTGTATTCTTTCTCAGCGAATTAAGACTGTTTCGATGCTTCACTCTGCAATGCTACACTGACAACTCTTCAAGCCATCACCTCCGACACTCTAGAGTGACCCATAAAGCCTCCCCTCCTGGATGCTCACTGCTGCTTCACATCTCCAAAACTCAGTGTCTCTCTTACCATTCTATTCAGACTTTCCCAGATAGACCCATAAACTGAAACCTTATCATTTGGCTCTGAATTCTTTGCATTATCTTACATATCAAAGTTTGTCACAATTCTTTCTTTTAAAACTGAATTAAGGTACCATTTCTGGTGTCATGACCCTAGGTTTGATAATCATCTCTCACTTATTACTCTGCATAGTCATCTGCATGTTTTGGTTTTTTAAATTTTCATGCTAACTACAGTATATGCTATAATCAATGAAAAGTCCTTTTCCACTGATTCAGGCAAGACATTGACTCTTCCCAAAACTACTGATGACCCCTACTGATTGATCCCATCCTATATGCAAAACTAGTCTTAACTGTTCAACAACCTGGAGCATGGAACATGCTTTCTGTGGCCAGTACAATTCATACTCCTTCAGCAGCCATGCCGGTTAATATTCACAGCCTTGCTTTTTATCCAATTAAAAAAATGTTTGCTTTCTCAATTACTTAACCCAAATTCCATTTCTTAAAGTAAATTTCAAATTACACATTCTTTATAAGTTGGTCCAACATATTAAAGGAATATCCTTTAATGTTCCTTAACTCTTGTAACATTTTAGGCACTTCATGTCTGCTCTGATACTTTTCATCTATAATCTCATATACTGCTTTGCAGCTACTTTACGTTGCTAATCTTTTTCCTGGCTGTCTTTAAAAGGACATTTAGCCTTTCACCAGGGTGACTGTGCATTGGCAGAATTAGATTTTGTGAGGCTTACTGGCTCTGGAATAGTAGTAATTCCAGGAGTCCCAAAATATCGCAGTGGTCCACAAATTAGGTCATGTGATCAGCAGAATTTTAGGACAAGTTCATCTTTTAGAGGCTCCCCAACCCAATCTATGATTATTTTCCCAGTTCTCTGGTGTGAAATTGAAAGAAACATACTCAGCAACTGGCAGAATCACCATATATATGTTTAATAAGAAGTATGTTATTTCATTAAGAAGACATAAGTTCTAGAAATCTTGCTGTTTTATAACATTATTTTTAAATGAAGCAAGTGTTTTTGAAGATATTTTTTAGATTTTGTAATTATTTAATCTTCTGATACTTATTTTACAAAGTTTACATCTTATAGGTATCTTATCATAGCCTGAATAAGACGTTTTCTACCTGGATTCAGAAGTGATCCATATATCAACTTTGGCTCCTTTTAGTTCTTTGATGACACTTTTTTTAACCATATCCTTCCAAAGTCTCAAATACTTCTGAATATGATCCTTCATGAATAGTTTGATGGTTATTCAGATACATTTCCTGATAGCAGCATTTTAAATAGATAATTTAAATTTGATAACTTACCATATGTCAGTGTGTTGAGGATTTTCTTTTTGACAATGAGGACAGAAATATGTCATTCTGTTATTCTCTCCTAAGCGACATACAGTAATTTTGCAGTGGCACTGACCGCAATTAGGACGCTTATAAACCTTATAATGTTTAGAGATAGCTGATCCTGTTTTACAGCACTTAAAAAAAATTATACACAAAAAAGTATTACTTAGAAGCCAGATATAGTCTTGAAAGTCAACTCTGAAAACAATATGTCAAAATTTTACCTATCTTTGTACATAGATCCACATAATATTTGCTTTCATCTGAGCAAAAGATATTAACAAGATAATAACATCTGTCAAACAAGATTTGTGTGAAATAATTGTTATTACACAATAACATGTTAGCATTCATAGTTGTTCTTTGCATGACTATCTTCTTATCTAAATGGTAGACAAAAGTTCTACATTTTAAAATGTCTTTTGTCCTTTTGTCTTAAAAAAACATAATTATATAGTTATAAAAAAAAGACTCGATCAGCTTTAAGTCTGATTATTTTTAGAACTCTGAATCTGCTCACTCAATTTCAACAGCCAAAAACGTTTTCTAGGGAACAAAATTTAACAAGACTTCTTTGTTGACTCGAAAAAGTATACATATATCCTTAGAGATTCACTAGAAAGAGAATAAAAATTCACATAACATTTTACTAGAGATATGTTCCATTTTAGTACATGTTCTATTTCCAAAGACATTTTGCTATTTTTTTGTCAGTTTTATTCTACTCACATACATTTAAAGTTCCTACCAAGAACATATTGTGGGTTAACATCAGCAGTGAGAAAATTTAAAATTTGAGAAGTAGGCCCATTATTTATGAGCTGAAAATTACACAAACAATTTATATAAATTTAAGCAAAGTACTGACATACTCAATTTAATCTGAGTAGAAAATGTGCTATTTTCTACAGTAATTTTTCTCTAGAAGAAAAAGACAAACCTGTATAGTTTTAAAATAGCCACAGCTTAAAAAAAGTAGATATGTAAACCATTAGTACTTTAGGTCAATTAATGAAAAAGGCTATGGAATCTTCCTTCTTTTTTAAAAATCACTTTTTTAAATATAACATGGAGTCATTTATACTGCTTAATATTCTATTTTTCTGCTTAACATATTTTGAGTAGTTTCCCTTCCTTCTTCAACACAGTGAAAGAATTCTGAATACAGAAAACAGCCTGTGACAGACTAATCAAGCATACTTGATTTAAAATATAAAATGTGTTTATTGAATTCTACATATGCAAATATACAACTTTCAAAATCTACCAGTTAGCCATACTTACTTCATTCTCGGAACAGTTTTGGTTGTAAATATGACTCAATTATACAGGTGAAGAATCTAAATTTAAATAGTTTCTAAATAATCTAAATCACTAATAAGTAGCAAATTCTGAACTCAAGTCTATTCTAATACATTTTTATCTCTTTATGGTTTTTATATTTTATATATCCAAAAATAGAACAAGAATCTAAAAAAATGCTAATATAATTGTTCCCCATTTTGGTCTAAAGATAATTTAACTTAATCATAGTCAGACAAATTTGGACTGACTTATGACCTTGAATTTCAAAATGTTAATTAAGCCCCCCAAAGTCACTCCTCTTTATTGTACCTCTGTACTCTTACCACTAGATGGCTATATACAGCTTTTACATTTTTGGTGCAATCAAAAGGGAAACCATTGACATTTAAGTACTTGACAATTTCAATTTTGATTCTTACCCTGTAAAAGAGAATGCTGAAATCACGCACCATCTTCACAAGATGATGGATCTGTTCATCTGTTAACTGAAAAACCTAAAAATGGGGAAAAAAGCATAACTTCATAATTTATTACTTTAGGTGAGTGCCACTTTGGAGTTCTGTTAAAGAACTGTACACAGATTTAAGATACACACATATCTTCAAGAACTGTTTCTTATTTATTTAATGTAATTAACTATTTTTAAGTGATTGCAGTACTGATAAAAAGTTCTATTTATACATTTTAATCTTAAATTCTAACATTTATTGAACAGTGTGCATCAGACATCATCAATGCTCCAGGACTGTCTACCAACCACTCCAAAAGTCTTGCTAGATTTGAGAAAAGAAATGCAAATAAATAGAAAGAAGAAGACAAAAGTAGTCACAGGAGTACATGACCATCAACATCACTATGAAGCTTTAAAAAGGTATGAATTTATATTCATGTCTTAACGTGAAACACCTGTTAATACTTTGAAGAGCTCAGAAAACAGATTTTATTGAAGAGTCGAAAGTGTGGTGTGAATCTCAGGATCACCTTTGTAGAATTAATTATCATTTGGACCATGTGCTTCTGATAGTAATACTAAAGGAAATTCTGTGTCACTCTTTGTGCTTGTTTTTTGTGTTTGAATACACACACACACACACACACACACACACACACATTATCAGATAGTATGAAAACAAAAAACAAAACATCTAAACAACATAATCATTCTAAAAGTTTTAATTTCAACTATTTAACTTTCAAAACTTATTTCAAAAACATTCATTTCTTAAAATATTAGGTCTTACCTACAGATGTTAAAGTTACTTTTTCAATAATTGTGTTACTTTTTCAATAATTACCGCTATTCTTTTAGGAGGTTAATAATTTTAACTTCAGAAATGTTATAAGTTTTAATTTTTCTAACATTACCAATAAATGATGTGATGACTGGCTGGATGTACAGATCAAAAGTAAATCCTTAGCTAAGTACAAGTAACACTAACACTGCTCTAGGTTGTTTTTTTAAAAAAAAACATTTTCCACGGAGGTCTAAGTGAGTTGAAAACATTCATTCCTAGCTGGGCATGGGGTACATGTCCCTGATCGGACACTCAGCGGCTGAGGCAAGACTGCATGCTACAGCCCAGTCTGGGAAATTTAGCGACTTAGTACTAAAAAAAAAAGTAAAAAAAGAAACCCTCTTTTCTGCTAAGAATTTGTTTAATTACTGCCACATTAAACTAAATTATTCCTAAAGAGAGAACCTATTTGAAAATTATTGATTGGTTTCTTTTAAAACTTAATTCTTACTGATTTGGTTTTTACCAAAATGATTTAGAAAGTATATGAAACAAAGAGGTATCTTTGCATGTACATTAAAAATAATTTTTTTAAAAATTAAAAAATAAAAATAATTTACTTAATAGCAATTATATAACAGTAAAAATAAGAGTAATAGTTAATTGAGTTAAAGATATTTAGTTTATAATAACAAATCTGGATAAAAACCCTGATGTGAATTCTTTGTTGGAAAATAAAATATATGTATTCTCCCTGCGCTCAGTTTCCAATCTCTCTTGACTTTCTCAGAACATCTATGAATCACCACTCTCTTATCTATGACTTTAACATCTTTCTCTCCCAGTTCTTTTCTTCCCCCTCAATTTATAAATAAGTTCAAATCTCTCTAGTTGAAACACAAGAGAAAAACCCAAACTCCAAAATCCATTCCTTGTCCTGGTGTCTCCTCTAGCAGTTTAGTATTTTTTTCTTCATGTCAATCTAAGTTATTTGAGAAAGAATACTAATTTTTGTCCCATTTGCTTACTGATTGCTGATTCCTGAGTCTCTGCTACCTGAATTCCAGTTTTATCATTCATTCTGTTGAGACAGGATTTTCTGCTATCATCATGAGCCAGAATAGAGGAGTATTAGGAATACGTGAGTATGTATAGAGTATGTATTTAATATGCCAGATAGAAAAAAATGAGTTGTGAACTTCATTTATTCACACATTCTGCAAATGTCTGTTTAAAGTCTATCAAATGTCAGACCCTGTTCTCTAGATGTTTGCATGCATCTCGGAACAGGACAGATTTATGCTTTCTGGAGACTGTTTTCCAGTGGAAGGAGACACATTTTTTAGAAACAACAAATGTAACAACTAAATATTCTGTGTCTGAGAGTGAGACGTGGTACAGAAGACACAGAAAGGGAAGCAATTTAAGGCTGCCTGGGAACATGAAACGGAAGGGGGACTTGCACTGCAGTTTTGAGAAGGTGTTCACCATGGGCCACACTGAAAAGTCACACGAGCAAAAACCTGCAAGACACTTGCAGACTGAGCAGAATGTGTCACTGAAACACAAATTTAAGTGTCCACACTGGACTTTTGATATTACTGAAATATAGAGGAATAATTACAAAATCTGTATGACTTACTTTGAGAGCTGGATGGAGACCACTGTCAAAAAGAGCTTCATTTTTGATGATGTTCCCCACGCCAGGCAACACTTTCTGATCCAATAGCACATCGCAAAGCATCCGGTCTCTCTGTTTTTTAACTTCACTTTCTGCTCCTAAGAAACTAAATTTAGGTGAACACACATCTAATTCTCTCATCATTCTTATTCTCTGTTGGATTTCCACTGAGTTTCTGCGAAAAGGAATATAAAATACATTAATGATAAAGTCTGGTTTACAATTTCACAGTGTCATTTGAAATGAGCTTTAATAGAAATATAAAACTTTACGTTAATCATGGTGTAAAAGTTCTATGGATAAATGAACACCTTAACAAATGTTATTATTTGAAGGCTCCATTATAATGAAGCTTCATCAATTACAAGCTATTACTTAGTAACAGGTAATGTCCAAACTAAATTGCAAGTGTAAGCTCTGAATATTTTATTTTATTTTTTACCTCAGTTCTACCGATGAGTCAAAGAAACAAATCAAATCATTGGTGAGCTGCAGTTCAAAAACAGAAGAATCTCCATTTTTATTTTTGCATGGAAGTAAATTAATCATGATGGAGCCTTTCATCCCAAAATGTATCCTAAAACAAAATCAAATCCATTTTGAGTAGAAACTTACAATATATCAAAATATTTCCTTGGCTTCACTTTTTGGATTATAAGCAAACAAATGTTACTAGTAAGGATAGGTATTTACAGGACAAAAATTTGTAGCTAGTATTATCATACAGTTTTCAATTATAGCTTTTTAAAGCTATAAATAAGAAAAATAGTTTTCATTCTCCAAATAACTTCTAGAGAAATAACACCCACAAATAAGCATAGGAAAAATACATTTGTGTTCTTTTCTTTTAAGATGAAATATCCTTTATTCACAAAATGGTCTAGTATCTCTCAGTATTTTCTGATTTGAAGGCTTAAGAAAAGCCTAAGTTGCCTATCTTTTGTGCTTATAAATTCTTCAAAGCTATTAGCTTTCAAATTCCTTCTTTCTAGCCACAATTATTTAGAAATGTTTACTTATTGCAAAATAAGATCTACAGTTTAAGGCATTATTGTTTTGGGCTAAGCAATGAAACAATTTCCTGCAGAATCTTGCATATCAAAAAAAAAAAAAAAAAAAAAAAAAAGGTAGTGGGGAGGAAGAGAAAGAGGCCATGAAGAAATAAGACAGAACAAGTCAAAATGCAATTGTCTTCATTCTTTTCATTTTCTTTTACTTTTATATATATTGGGAAGAAGGGATTTATAAATATTTACAGTTAGCTTTAAAGTCACAATGCAATGATGGAAAAGTCATAAGCCTTCAGATTGTATAGGATTGATTAGCGTGTCTGGTTTAAAAAAAAAGTGATTTTGTGAGACCTCTGGTGATGAAGATCAAAAATGATTCTCAAGATGAAATACGGTGTTCTGCCTTTCAAATCTGACTCTTATAGCTTTGTTGAGTTAATAAATATAGTTCCTTTGGCAGCAAGTGTTACTGCTGCGGCTTCTAATTCCAAAGCACCATGTTATAGTATTATACAAGGTTAACCAGTCTAACTTTAAAACTGTAGGTTTTAAACTCTGGGTGCCCTACTATCAATCATAAATGCATTTTACATGCCCCATAGTTCTTGACAGGAAAAATGTGTGCCTGTAAGTACTCTATAATTTAGCTTATGGAGGCCCAGGCCCAGTGAATGGTATACAGCTGTCATGCCCAGAGGCCATCGTATCTAAAATCTTTTCAGCTGCATAGCTCATAAAGTGGATTCTAAATCACTTTCCATAATGAAGCCACATTCACATAAAAAATATCAAAGCTAAGACTCAATTCAAATGCAGAAGTAGCCTCAAAAAGACCTGTAAATAAAGTAAGTATGCCCTTGTCTTATAACACTTAACAATTTAGGAGAACATGCACATAAAATAACGATTCTCTCTTATATTTATTTAATAGGTAAATATTATAACTAAGCCTCAATAAACCAACAAATTTTGTGTTTGAGTTCCTTTTATCTCAAACTAAGAATGTGCCATGAAAAATTTCAAGTTACAGTAGGTGTCTATATTGTTATAGCATACGGGATTTTTATAGACCAGCACACTGGGCCATATTGTAGCCAAGAAAGGGACTTTGATAGAGTTTTGATTGCTTTTCAAGATTTCAAAATTAATACTACTGGAGGAAAATTTTTTAGAACCTTAGTTCTATCTCTTAATTGTCCTCAAACTTCTTGTACCTCTAATCAAAATTGTTATCTGAGATAATTTACTTTGCATAATTGATCTCTGCCTGCTAACTGGAGGTACCTGGTCTAAAGTGGGTATTAAGCCAAACCTGGTCTGATCACTGTCCTCTGATCCTATGCCTTTGATACCAATGATTTAGGAACCGATACGTATCCTAAACTAGGTTCATCAATATCCAAGCTGGATTCATTAGTTCTCTTGATGAAGGCAAGGATTTGGGGTATAAATTGGTTTCTTGTTATTAATGCAAAATCTCATATCTGAGCTATGGGTGGGAACATTTCCATGTGGGAACGGGGCACCAGAGAACCCAGAGAAAGATTCTACACAGAGGAGGAAATCTAAGGAGATTTCAGTGAGGAGCAGAGTTAAGAAGGAAATGAAGAATCCCAATAGCTTTAGTCTTTTCTTTTAGCTCTTTCTCAGCCCATCTATATCGTCCTCAGATTTCACAAGATGTCCTCTATTCTTACAATTAATAATTGAACTCACTTAAGTTACACTTTTATAGTATAGTATTTGTAAAATCTATGCTGAGAACTCAAAACTTTGTAAATAAGATTTGTGTTAACCATACTAAGAAAGAAAAAGGGAGCTCTACTAATGGAATATAAAAGGCTGAAAGTAGACATAGTTCTCACTCTAACAAGGAGAGAAAAAGCTATATTATTAAGAAAAATCATACATTGTCTTAAGTCTATCAGAGACTAGGTTGTAAGGTAATCAGCTGAGTTAAACTCCGAAGAGGGACAAGACCCTAAAGCAAAACATTTTTACAAATGTATTAGGGGCAAGGAGAAAGAGAGGGCTACCATAAGGGGGAAAAAAAAAGATAAGAAGTAAAGAATTAAATCTCAGCAAGCGTTTGCATAATATGTGTGGACTACTGTCACAGTTTAGAATCCCTGCAGTCCCAGGGTAGCTCACACCCACAGACACACTTAGTGAGCTGGGTGTAGAGAAGAATGAGGGCAAGAGAGCAGAAAAGACAGCTTTTTGTGGCATGATGCCTGTTTTTATGAAACCCTGTCTGCTTTTTGCATGCTTCTTTAAAAAGAAGAAAAAGAAAAAAAAATGTTAGGAAGTGTTAAGCTGCTGTATCCAAGGATGTAGAAACAAAAACCTGTTTGTCTCTAAAGGCGGATCAAGAAACCTCTGCCCACACCATAAATTTTGCACTGAGCAGCAAGCTTAAGCAGATTGCCACAGGGCCACAGTAGGCAACCTTTTGCCACCAGGCCTAGGCAAAATATGCTACTTTTGAGAACAAGGGCAGAAAAAGCCATCTATCCCTTGGTTTGAGACACAAAATTCTATAGTGATTCAGAAGAGAAACCTGCTTCCAATGGGAGAGAGATAGAGAACTCTAGCACACAACCAAGAACATCAGAAAGCAGGGCAGAGTTTGGCTGCCACATGGAAGAGAGTAGCAGAAACCTGGAGTGCTACTCCATGGATAGGGCCAACCCAAGACTAAAGGCGGTCAGGAGCCCTCCATTGTCATGAGCCTCTTGCTAAGCAACTAGCAACAGTGGTCAACCATCAGGGAAATGTGGAGTGGAGATTCCCTCTGTGACACATGTATCAGGGTCAGCGGAGACTAAAGTAAGAACATGAGGAAGGCATCAACAGCCAGTGAGGACATACATTAAACATCAAGCAGCAGCAGCAGCTGCAACTGAGAAGTCAATAGTACAATACCAAATGCAACAGTAACTCACCAAAACTACAACCCACTCAACTGCCTACACCAATCACCTGAGAGACAGGCATTATCATTTCTGAGCTTAAATATTACATAGCACAGGCTCGCCTAAAAATGATATCTGTGATGTAGCTCTTGTTTTTCTGTAATACCTTGAGGTTCAAAAAATGTAAATAAGACACAAAAATGGATTTTAGAAGTCCAAAATCAAGAGTGAAAACAATAAATAAAATCTAAAGATGTTGCCAAAGTTGGAATTTTGAGATAAGTGACTAAAAAGTAATTTTAAATTAATTTAAAAGTTAAAATGTTAATTATAGTCAGTTTTATATTATGTATTGGTCATTAATATATTAATAAGATGAAGTGGTATAAAAGCACATGAAGAGATGCAAAATTTTAGCAGAAAAATAAAAAATCTGCTATCAGAGATAATTCTTTCCATGATTAGACCACTGGACTATATAATTCAAGCCCCACGCAAATGTTTACTTTTAGACAGAAAATGTAAGAGGAAACATATTTACATTCAATTCCCATTTCAAGTGTTCTTTTTCTCTAGATTCAAATTTTCATCTATTATACAGTGCTTATGCTGGACAGACTTTCTTTTGCATGTTGCATATTTGCTACTGCTGGATTCTCTCATTTGGTTGGCTGGTAGGTTGATTCCAGTCTTTTATTACACCTTCTGTTTTAATGGATATTTTTGGTAAGTTTAGCATTCTCAAGAGTTTATTATCCTTTTGGCAATTCAATGAATTTACTCTGCTGTCTTGCGCTCTGTGCAGTTTCTGATTAGAAGTCCAATATATGTTTTCACTTTGGTTTTTTGTATGTAATACTTCTTTTTATGTGATTGCTTTCAGGATTTCTTTTCATGCTTTGTTTGTAGCATATTGGCTAGGTATGTGTGAAGGATATTTGTTTTTGTTTGAGGTTCTTTGAATTTCTGGGTCTGAGATTTGATGAAGAAAATTTTTGGTCACTTAACTCTTCAAAAATGTCTTCTGCTCTATTCTTTATTCTAGGATTTTAGTTACAAATATTTTAAGCCATTTGACCTTGTTCCATAGCTCCATTAATTCTGTAAAATTCTTGACTATAACTAAAAGAAAAATAAAAATCAAAAAATTATTCTCTTTTTAATACTCCAAATACTTTCGACTCCAAATACCATTACAAATTTGGTATTATGCCAAATTTGTTGAAACTCTTCCAGAAAATCAGATAGGAGGGAAAAACTGCCAACTCATTCAAAGGCCAGTATTGTCCAAATATCAAAATTACACTAAGATGCTAAGAAGAAAATAATCCTATGGGCCAGTATCTCCCAAGAAGACAAAAATGCAAGAATCTTCCATAAAATCAATCTCCTAATATACAAAGGACAATACATCATGACAAAGTGGAAGATACCCTGGAAATGCAAACCTCATTTGGAACCCAAAAATCAATCGGTATAATTGACCATATAAGCAAATTAAGAAAAGCAATTATTATGACAATATATACAGAAAAAATATTTGAAAAATGTAATATGCAGTCAAAATACAAAATCTCAACAAAGCAGGAGTAAGAAAGAACTTTTTTCAATCTAACAAAAGGTACTCATGAAAAAATAAAGTTAACATCGGAGAAAGTAAGGTAAAGATATCTGTTCTCATGACTTTTACTTATCAAACTGAGGTTTCTAGCCATTGTAATTAGGAAAAAAGCAAGCAAGCAAGCAAGGATAGAGGCTAGCAAGAAAGAAATAAAAACCACCTTGATTAACAGACGCTACCATTGTCTACTTATAAATCCTAAAGATGTACTCCTCCCAAACAAATAAACATAAACTGCTGGAATAACTTAGTTTAGCAGATGTAAGGACAATAGGTACAAAAATTGTTGCTCCAAATGTCATTCCAGATACTAGTAATGAACAATTGGAAATTCAAATTTAAAGAGTACCCATCACAAGAATACCAAAACTTAATTTGATTAGAAAAATAAAATGTCTGAAATTGAAAACTATAAGATAATAATAAATGAAAGCACAATTAAACACAGAGAATACTGTTTTAATGAAGAGGAACATAGTATTATTCATTTATAAATTATCACCTAATTAATCTTTTAAATTCAATATAAAGCCAATTAAACCTCTAGAAATACCCAGAGGGTATTTTATAGAAACCAACAAGTCTGAAATTTAGAAAGACAAATTAACTAAAATAGCAAAAGTCATTTCAGAGAGATAGAGAGAGAGAGAAAACCAGATGACTATACTAACTTTCAATGTTTTAAAGCTACTTCAACTGAGACAGTATATAGCTGGTCAAAGAAGAGACACATAAATAGCCTCATTAAAGAACATAGTGAGTTCAGAAACAACCAAATTTATGGTGAATTGATTTTCAAGCAAGTTGCAAAGAAATTCAATGCAGAAAGATAATCTTTACAACAATGGAACTAGAACAACCAGATATGCCCAAGAAAGTATACTTTAATCTTGGCTTGTATTATATGCAAAAATGCCTCACAATTCTAAACACAAGAGCTAACACAATTAAAAAAACAAACAAACAAACAAACAAAAACAAAATAAAGGAGGAAATCTTAGTGAATTTGTACTGGGCAATTGTTTCTCTTTACTGTTCATAAACAATGTATAAGTGATAAAAGAAAAATTTGTAAATTAGAATTCATCAACATTACAATCAACAGTTTAATCTTCAAAAGACATGGTTAAAAAATGAAGAAGAAGCCACATGCTGGAAGCAACTGCTTGCAAAATATGTATTGTGTAAAATGCTGACATCTGGAATATGTAATAAACACAACTCAGTCACATAAAGACATACCCAATAAAAGGCAAGAAACCAGCATATCATAAAACATAAAATATACAAATTTACAAATAACAACAAAAATACAATGTAGGCACTGTGGCCAAAAATATCACTTTCTAATAGAAGGAATGCTGACTGACCCTAAAGGTCAAGTGGATAGGCTGGGTAAATGGAAGACATTTACTACCCTAAGGTATACAATTAACCTTAAAATTTTATCATACTTCTATTCCTTCTAGCAGATATATGACAGATTTCACTAAGTATAACAAAGCTTTAAAAACCTTTTAAGTAGTTTATAATAGAGCCAACAAAGATATTTTAGAAAACTGAAAATGGTTTAGCGCATTAAAGTTTATACAACTTTAAAGCCAATAAAACTAAAAAACTGATTTATCAGCAAAACTCAATATTTCAGATATAGTTTCTCATCTTCAAGTACATATGCTAATTATAGTCATATAAATCACAAATTAGAGACGGCAAAGTATTTTGTAGATAAATATTTTAAAATATAGCTTGAAAGTATTAGACTAACATATAACATTCTGATTGACAATGACAGTTTTTAGGGTAAATATGTCTGAGTGAAAAGATATTGGTATTGTACAAGTATACATAGTACTGTCAATATATATACCCAAAGTTAATAAAGGTTATATTTGGCAATGGGAAAAAATATATATATATATACAACAATTATATACAGGACACATAATTTATAGTATTATTTTGTAGTAGTCACCCAATAGTTAAACACAAGAAGAAGGAGTACAGAAAATCTGTCCACACACTGAGACCCAAGGAATCCAGCTGAGGGCCTAGATCCCAGGGCAGTATCCTGCATGAGTTCAGCTAAAGACCTAGAGCGCATGACAATACCCCCTACAAGTCCAACTTGAGGCTAGAGCCTATAACAGTTACTCATACAGTTCTGTTTCACAGATTTGAACTGGGAAGGCCCAAGTGTCAGAGGTGGAAGCTAGAAAGTCTGTGCCAGCAGGCTGAGGGATCTGCACTAGAGCCAAGAAGCAACACTCGACGTAAGAACCAGAGCTCCCCTCAAAAGTACCGCAGCCCTCCTCAGTAATGACAAGGTTCCAAGCTTCTCTTCTAAGTTCATATCAGGAAACTAGCTTGACAAGCTTCTCCTGGAGATTGAACAGCACACATCTTACCCTGAGTCAGGAAGTGGTAAAGACCAGAGCTCCCCAAAGTGAACCACAGTCATTCTCAGCAACAACAATGTCCTGAGTTCCTCTGAAGATGAGAACAACCAAGTTCATATTAGGAAAGAAGCTCAACAAGCTGCTCCAGGTGAGGCAACAGCAACATGAGAACCATCACCAGCACAGAGAACTGATGATACTCAGCTCTTCCTCTCCAGTTCTCCTTTTTATTTTGGCAACAATCCTCAGGTGGACCATCCACACTCAGCACCATGCTGATTCAGTTGATATTACAAGTTGACCACTAGTTATCAATCCATCACTATATATATATAATATATATATATCTCACATTTTTTCATCATTTCTGTTTACTCTAGTATTTGTTATATTTTAAAACAAAGATTAAATTTTTGCCTTATTAGCTGGAGATACACTGCTAAGTTTAGCAGTAGTGCACGTATTAATTACATGCAATATCACAACTATGTTCATAAAATAAAATATATCAAATACTTTTTTAATATTCTATTGCACTATTATGGGCCCTTAGATATAGCATGTACTAATAGAAATAATCACTCCGTAATTTGTATTTTTTTTTTTGTCTTTTTCCTTTTTATCGGTACCTGGGATGGAACTCACGACTGCCTGCTTCCAAGGCAGGCGCTTTATGCCGCTGAGCTAAACCTCCAGCCCCTGTAATTTGTATTTTTCTGAAGTGTAGCTTTTTACATGGCCATTACTCTTAGACAGGGCTTTATCCTTATTTTATTTTAAGAAACAAAAGAGTTCCAGAAGTTTCCTGGGCTGTCTTGTGCGATGTACATTTATTATAACTAAAACCCACTAGCAATTTTGATCACGGAAAAGCGGGCATGAGGGGAAAATTGGAAGAAATCCTTAAACATGTTTCCTACTATATGTTCTCTAAATGCAGGCCAGCGTTACAGAGCAAACAGAAGCCAGAAATGAAGACAGTGTCTCTGTCTCAGGCTCACAGACATGAGGCCTCACATAGTGTCCACATGTCTTCAGAGAGTCATCCAACATTTAAGCATAGCTTGTGAGTGTGTATTTTAATTTGTTACATTATGAAAGGGGATACAGTTGATTTTAGGTTCATGAGTTCAGATTCTAACAGCTGATCTGCCACTGACCTGGAATCATTACATACAATAGTTGCTAAGGCTGCAGGAAATTGAAAAGAAGCAAGCCTGTGCAGTTTTTCCTACCCATGAGCTGAGATAGGTACTCCCCAGGGATGATACTAGTTCACGCAGTTTGAGGAACTGATTGTCCTTGTTTAGAACTTCATGGAAAACTTACTGACAGGCCTGCACTGAGAAATGATCCTCTCCTTATCAGTCTGGTAGAGAACACTGATAAAAACCTCTCTCTCATCCTACAGAAATAAATCTGCACCTAACACCAGAAAATCAATAACATATCAATGTTTTCAACTATCGTGCATGTATTCCATCGTCTACTATTCTGTCCAGAGCTAAGAGTTTTCAAGCACATCAATCTACTATAGCATTAGGTAATCTGCAATATATTATTACTGCATGAACCAGTAGGCATATGTTGATGCTATCAGTCCCAGACTAAAAAAAAATATAAAGTGACAATGTTGTCCAAGGACAGTAGCTACTGACAATAAAGAGAGCACTCCTCAAAGGAAATACAATTATATAAGCCTGAAGTACTCTAAACAACTGGTAGATGAAATTCAAGAAATAACAATCAGAATCACATCATGTCTCTGTAAACATTGTTCACCTTGAGTTAGAACAAGGTTCAATAGTGGATCTTTTCTTTTACAAAGGTGATGACTAATATCTTACAGAAGCACTAAAAAGAATCAAGGAAGCAGAACTCATCTTTATATTTTGCAATGGCTTAGGTTAAACTCAGAAAGACATACTGAGATTCAACAGGCATATTATCTCTTAGACCTTTTTCATTTTCCTGCAAAAATTAAATAGGTGACCGTGCATTGCAATTACATAAATCCTGACAGTTTTTATCATGCAGTCAACCAAGGTAGTAGATTGCTTGTCTTTTTTTGCCAACATATTAGCTTTGAATTTCTGTAAGTAATATGAAAAAAAGAGAACCTGTTATTTCTTTTGAAAGTTTTTGAATTCTGAAAGTAATTTCCCAAATTCTGTTCAAGGCTTCAAAGAAAGAACACAAAGGCAGCCAAATACAAAAATCTAGTGATGCATTTAAACCAAACAAGGGCCTGTCATAAAGGTAAAATAAATGATGTCACCAAAGGCAGTGAAAATTTGATGACAAAGGAAGAGATTACAATGGAAGGAGTTTGGGGAACAATAAAACAGATATACTGCTCTTACACATCTTCATAAACCCTGGTAGTCTATCAATTTTTGTAAGTGAAATAAATTGACTATCCTCCAAGTAACGATGACATCACAATTTATTCTTTTTCTGGTTACTGCTTTCCATGATGGAACTTCAACCTCTTTTATAGAGCTCTCATAAACATAAGAGAACTTTCTACATGATTGAATGTGACACCTGGCAAATTGCAAGAAAAGCCTTCTCTACATCTTTAAATATAGAGTTGTAAGATGTATTGCACAGGTTTAACTTACCGTAAAGCTTTTGGGCCAAAAAACATAAACAGCTCTTTCCCCAAAGTTTCCACACCACTGTAAAGGTATCCATTAAGCAGTCTCAAGAAATTCTGGCTGGAATCATTGCTATCTTTCATTGCAGCAGCCTAATAGAAAACAAATACATGTATAAACACTCCCATACATCCAAACTCTAAACAAAATTATAATTTAATTCTTAAATGTATTTGTATTTTTTCATGCCTACGTGCATTCCAGTGAGAAGAATAAGCTCCAACAAGTATTACAATCAACTGTTTACATATATTTTGTTCAATTACTATATACTAACATAAAGAAAGAGCTCAAAAACATTAAGTGGAAAAAAGTAATTGGCCGACAATCAAAATAGGTTTCTTCCAGCTCTGCTCATATGAAAAGAAAACACAGGAAAAGAAGGCAAATGCTCTGAACTAACAAGTGGAACAGAGTCATCTATTTCCACAGGGTAGCAAGGAATAACTGAAAACGATAGGTAACATATGTAAACAAATTAACTTTAACTGTGTTAATGAACTTTTAAGCAAGACATAACAATGGGTCAAAGCCCAAGTAAAAGTAGGACAGACTCTTAAAGGGGAGGGTAAAGAAGACCCTGAAACCAAATTTTACCATAAGGGCATGTACTAGACCCAAAGTATGAGAAAGTTTCCATTCACTTTGTCTTGAGTGGCTATAGTAGATCAGAAATAGAGCCTGGAGTCCTGTAAGTAAAAGAATCTAATTACAGACCTGCCCTATTCTAAGCACAATGTTAAAACTGAAACTGCATTTCCCTTTCCCCCAACAGCCTTCAAAACCAAACAACAGATTATTAGGATTAAAATCTATGTACTGAAAAATGTAAGAAAACTAAGGATATCATAGACCTACCAAGACACAAAACATAGGCTCTGTGAAGACAATACTGGCCTTCAACATAGACACTGGCAATGTTCTTTTACTTAAATTGAGCATTAGGTATACTTGTTATAGGTGACTAAGTCAGATAAAAATATAGGTAGTCAGATAGGGATAGGACCTCAAACAAGCCAGTGTGCAAGACAAGATACCTGGCAACTGTGGGAGAGTCAGACACCTCTGCTGTGGGCCAGACCTCAAGAAAAAAACATCAAAAAATGCATCCACAAACTTCCTAAGGATAAACATCAGGGATTGGTATTCTAAATAGGTATCATCACTTTGAGGTGTCCATTTTATTATAATTTTCTTACTGAGATATTTTATGAACATGTGTAATTTGCACTCAAAATTCAATAAAAAAAGTAAAACTTACAAATTCATAACTCAGGTTGTTAGACTGGTGTCGCAAGGAAGACTCCAAGGGCCTCGCTCTCATGTAAAAACAAAGGGGTTTTTATTATTCCGTGTACACGGGGTCCTCCAAACAGGTGGAAACGGAGAACCCTGAGTTGGGGCAGGGCTGGTGTTTTTAAGGGGGAAAAACTGCAATGTAAGCATTTATTACAGAAGCCAATCATTACAGTTAGTGCGGAGCGGTGGGCATCTTATCTATCTGCTATTGGTCAGTTCATAAGGGGTGACCAGCAGGTCAGAGTTAATTAACTGTCTTTGTTCTGCACAACTTGTCTTTAAGACACCTGGTTTCTGTAGACTTGAGTCTGACATATTTTACAACCCTGATTAGCATAATGGCAGCCTCTATCTCTGAGTTCCCTGGCACAGCACATCCCCAGCATATCACAGCCACAGAGGTTGTTTTTATTTCTGCAGGGCTGAGTTAGGACTGAGTCACGAGGCCCAGTGCTGTTTCTAGCTGAGAAACAGCATCTTGTTTTTAACCTTTAAATTTCTGGTTCTACAAGGTAAAATAAAATAGGTACATATAATTATAACCATACATTTGTACTTAAGGTGACAGACATCTTGCCTCCAACATGTTTGTCCTTTTTCTCAAAGGGCCTAACGATCTTGAAGATAAATCAATTGGGATGGGGAACATAGCAGGTGATTTACCTTTTGATAGCGAGCCTAAAAGAATCACAAGTTTTTCTCAGCAGAAGGTATAATGATAAAAAATTTTGGTTAATAAATATGTCATTCTAAATGCTTAAGATCATGTATTCACAATAGTAATACATGCATTTTAGTAAATTAGTCCTCATTTAAAAAACAACAAAAAAGACACTATGGTAGTATTCTTCCATTAAAGCTACTTAGTTTGTAATGATGACAGCAGATGGTAGAATCACTCAGTTTTAAGGAGATTTAAATCCCTCCTTTCACAATAAGCATTGCATAATTAGCCATCAGCTTATAATAACTGACTGTTACAGTTTGTGTCTAGATGTCCCCCTAAAGCCTCATGAAGTCATACGATGAGCTTCTAAAATTTGTGATAGATTCATGGTCTAATACTGGGAATAAGGATATGAGAGCTACACTCACTCTAGGGTAGGCAGCTAGCCCACAATATTAAGGCCACAAAGAATCTTGTCTCTCTCTCTCTCTCCTTTCTCTCATGTTGCTTTTGGTATCTTCCATGCCTGTCTGCCACGTGCCACCCTGCCTTAGTGCCAGCTGATGTCTGAAACCTCTACAAAGTATGTGCTAAATAAACTTCTCCTGCTTTAACTTTGGGTAATGGGTATTTTGTCCCAGCAATGAGAAAAAGTAAATAAGACACTGATAGATAGACAGGAATTGTTAAAAGTGATAGATGCTGGATGTGGTGGTGCACACCTGTGATCTCAGCTACTCAGGAGTGTGAGGTGAGAGATCACATGTCCAGGCTAGCCCGGGCAAGATTCTCAATAAAATTTAAAAAGTCTCCAACTACAGTTGAGGCCTTAGATTTCTATGTCCTTTACCAAAAATAAGTATATATATATATGGGTAGACTTCCAGTTTTGCTTTACTCTCAAAAAGAACTTGTGGGAGATTCTAACATCTGGAAGTAAAGGTACATATGTCACCATGTCCTCAGAACTTCTGCCACTGACTTCCCTCTCTTGGATGAACTCAAGGGCCCAGCTTGGTTATTAAGCACTGGCAATGCAGGCTTGAGTACTCAGTGAGGAACAAAACGCATTTCCACACGTGCCTTGCTTTTATAAATAAATCTGTTGGAGTTCTGAATTGAGAGGCAACAAGAGTCTTGACACTTCTTTCCTTCACAAGAGATTCTAAGCCACTTATGTACACTTCAAGCCAATACAGATTACAGTAGGAGTCAAGGTAGATTTCCATGACAACTGATTAACGAATAAAGCCTTCTCATAAACTAACCAGGATACTTTTAAGATGACAATATACAGATCAGATATAGGTTTATTGAGAGTAATTTAGAGATCACCTTTTTTATATTTGTAGAATCTCAGATTTAAGGTCTTAACTATCATCTAAAATTAATTTATATACTAATGGTTCAGGGCTTCATTTCCCCACCATTCCAGTACTCACCATCTCTTATTCCCCCTTCCTCAATGTTCTTCTTTACCGGCCAGTTTTGCTCACATTCTCTGAAACCTTCTGGCTTCTGTTAGGCCTGCTACTACACGGAGTGATGAACTTTATCCTACTTAATATATATAGACACATGCACACACACACTCCTCAGACACACACACACACACACACACACACACACACTCTATACATTCATATATAGCAACCTTCCCTGGTTCTTCATTGGAACAGCAAAAGCTAGTGCTATCCTGACTTTCTAACTTCTGATAGCTACTTTAAGTTTCATAAATTAAACCCCAAACACAAAACCAATTAACTGTCTAATTGGCTAATTAAAAATGCTGTCAGCTGCCATATCAGTTTCTTAGGGTAGAGCCTCCTCATTCCTGACTACTGGACTTCACTTTTCCTAAATGGGAACTCACAGGATTAAGCTACTGTCACTTACTACCTGTCTGCTTGCTATCCCAATCTCCGTCCCTTTACTCAGTTCTGACTATCGTATTTTTTAATGGCTCTTGGCCAAGAAACAGATACGTAGCCTTGAAAAAAGCACTACTGTCACAATTAATAAAATAGTAAAGAAGTCCCAACAGTTCCATGTGAAATCTACTCATGTTGCTAAAGTAATCGCTTGAAAAGAATTTAGTTTAAAACTTTAGAAGCTTAGAGCTATACTGGTTCATCTTTTCATTTGGCATTTTGTACAACACAAACATCCTATCTGCAAAGAGGAAATGGGCCATTCATGGCCATTTAACTAAATTAATTCATTTTGGAAAAGTTCACTGATCTTCCACTATACACCAGACTTTATTTTAGAAGTTGGGCATATACCAATTAAAATAACTAAAATCATCCTGTCTTTATGGAGTTTATATTCTAGTAGGGGAAAAACATAGGCAATAAACCTAAGAATATCATATTTTAGAGAATTTTGAAAAGAAATTGAGATAAAAAGAGATCAAAATGGAGGAATATGTAATGGGTTACAGTTCAGTAGCCATAATCTCAGTGGGGGAGTGGGCATTTGAACAAGTTTCAGATCACAAGTGACCTATAATTCACATAAAAGGAATGACAGTTCAAACAGGTCAGTATGGCCACAGCACACACAATGGAGTATTAGAAGTAAATGAAACTTAACATATAGCAGGAATCACATTATGTGGTCCACAAAGTCTGACCTAAGGACTGGCTTTCTTTTGGGATAGCACTAGAGTAGAAGAGAAAGTGATCTATGTTATTATTTTAAATTGTTCCTCAGCAGTGAGATAGAATTCTGGCTCAGCAGATTGAGATGGAAAGTCAGGAAAGTACTTACAAGTCTACTGCAAAAATCCTGCCAAGAAATAAAGGAAATTTGGACCAGTGGGGATGGAGGAGACAATGAAAATTGGTCAGATCTCTAAGTGTGTTTTGAAGATGGAAATGCCACTCACCAAGATGAGAAAGACTTGGGTAAAACATGTTGGGAAAGGAAAAAAGCAGGCTATTAAACATATTAAGGTTGAGATGTGTATTAGAAACATGTTAAATAAGCAGATGGATATAGGAGTCTGGATTTAAGAGAGATGTCTGTTCCAAAGAAAAGCAATTATTCAATTATATGTAGAGAAATGATGTCTAAAACCCTGTCAAAGAGGAGACACACGAGAGAGTGCACTTAGTTAAACAGGAGCCCAAGAACTAAAGTCTGGACCACTCTGATGATATATTGGTGGGAAGAAGAACCCCTGAAGAATGCTACGATGTCAGACAGAGAGGAAGACTTAGGAGATTGGAAAGACGATTGGCAATGCATGTCCAAAATCAAAACAAGGGCTCCTGTAAGCAAGTGAATAACACATTTCTGGGAAGAGGACATGGGAAGCACTGCTGCTAACAAATCATATAAGATGAAGACTGACACTTGATCACTGGATTTAGCAATTTGTTAGTAATTAGTGACAAGAGTTTCAGAGAAGTGAAAGGGGACAAAAATTGATTTATAGTTCCTGTATCAAAACACTGAATTTTAATTTATGAAGAACACAGCTGAAATATCTCAACAGCCAATGCTGAGAGGCGGGTTCAGAAAAGATTTGTTTTGTTTTCTATAATTAGTCTACCAATGCACCACAGGATGTCCTGCAGAAGACTCTGCATCTACAGATTTTTTAATGATCTGAGATTGTAGGAATATCTAAATATGGAAAAAAATGATCATTTAGTTAAGAAAAAAGTATCTGGAGACAATTCTTCAAATCTTTATAGTTTCTATTAACAAGATAATGGTGACTATATTGCCCTCACAAATAAATATTGTTTTGCATAGGAGGAGGAGTACAAGAATATGAAGGTCAATATACTTAAAATGCATAAGGCCATTTTATATCCTTGCACTATGGTCAGGGGCAAGGAATTATTTTCCTGGCTGCCATAATCTCAAAGAGAACCTTGAACCAAAGTCTGAATGTTGTAGCATTTCTTACATGTTCTACTGGTGTTTTGACCTACTCTTCATAATTAAAAATATAATGTAACATCACAAATTGGAAACACAAAAAACTGAAAATTCTACAAATGTTGAAAAGATGTTTATGGCCCCATAAATGTGACTGTTACAACAGATGTTGGCAGAAAGCAAAGAGAGGAATGATCACAGGTGGAGAACTATTCATTTGTGGAAAAATACTGACCTGGAACTACCAGCTGATGTCACCCCAGCAGAAATTCTTCCCATTTCAGCGGCTATGTGACCTCGGTTCAACTATGTTTAAGAATTAAGTGGTTTCTTTTTTTTAATACCCAATGATGAAGTGTTTAGGAATTAAAATGAAATGTTCTATAACCTCTTCAGTGCTCCCATATACAGTTTGTAATCCTCTCTGACTTTAGAGTTTTCCTACCTGAGCAGCTGAATAAGCTTGCAGATTTCTAGCTGCCACATTTAGCATAGTGTTTTCTAAACTACAGTCATGGTAGTGATACTAATGATCTTGAATTATAATTTGTCTGTAACTTGTATTTCTCCCTTATCTGTGTATATTTAGCTAGTATCCTCAAGATCTGTACATAATGCCTGTGGTTTAGTAAACATTTGTGGAATCCCTCCTAAAACTGACAGTAGTTTCAAACAATAGTGTCACTGTTTCTCTACCTACCATGTCCAATTGGCTTTACCTGTCAAAAATTCATCTTTTAAAAATCTATTGATATATCAATGCCTTATTTTCTTATCTGCAATCAAATGAGACTTAAATATCAGAAGACAGATTTTTCATACCCACCAAAAGCTAGTATTGTACTTATCAGAATTTCCCATAAAAGAAAAAGAACATTATGGGAAAATTTGGAAAGGGATTGATGTACGTTCAACAACCATTTCCAAAGTACTCTATTCTCTCACTCTCTTTCTCTCTCTTTTTTCCCTCTTCCCCCTTCCTTTCTTTGACGTGTTTACTTAGCATTTAATTGTTGCTTATACTTCATTTTTGCTTGGATAAATATGATAAGTAAAGATCACTTTACTGAGTTGTCCATCATGCAGGCAACTTACCCAAGTTGGCTGATTCCTATGTCTATGATTTCTAAAATAATCAGCTCTGCAAAAAACTTTTGCAAAAAAAATAAAATTTTCAATTTATGATTGACCATCACAAGCCCTACATGTATTTTGCATTGTTTCTTTAAAATTCTATTTTATGAGGAAATGCTGTATACCAGTGATGAAATGTTCCATTTATTTTGTAAGCTATTATGTACAAAGTGGGTGAGGCTTTCACCATAAATCTAAGATTTACAAGATACTCACTTGCCCTGCTGTAGAACAGGGGTTATCACCTTCTTCTATAAGCTTCTGCTGCCTAGACAAATGCAAAAATTAATTTCCACAAGCCTATTATATTTGCTATAACTATACTCAATTGCCCAATATATACTTGACTTTCTCATGTTGACCCATATGATCCTACTACTGTATTATTTGAACATTTCAACCTTCCTTTTTCTGAAATAGAGATGAAAATCTCCTTTGCCACAATTTTAAGTATGATTGAGTAGGGTTCACCTTCCCATTTTCAAGTGGCTTAATAATATGAAATTTTCCAAACAACACATATTTTCAGAGGCAGTACATGATTTATTGTGCTGATTACCATTTATCCTGCCTATCCATGAGTGAACAAGGAAGATGAACTTTCCAGAACACAATAAGACGTTTTCATAGATAAATGTTTCAACTTTACTGCAGTTATATATTTTCTCCAGAGAAGATCTCATATTTATTTTTGTATTCTCTCCTCTTTCCTCATATTTCTTTACTGTAATATGACATTTTTCTTAATAAGAGGCCATTCATCTTTTAATCCAAACCATCAAAGAACCTAATTTTAAAATGGTCTTTAAATTCCAAAATAGATAAAGGACTTTAGATTCACATAATCTATAACTTTTAAAGAGCAAAATCTCTTAACACTTACCCAGAACCTAAATACTTTGCATCTTACTTGATAGCTTCAAATGTTACAAGCTTTTCACAGGGTAATAGTTTTTGAGATAAATGGGTCTGGTGAGAAAGCCTCAATGCAAGAGAAAAGACAATTAGCAGGTTGCTTAAGTTATCACACTAAACTAAGAGTTGTATTTGCCTTTAATTTGACCAACTAAACTATAACATGAGTACAAGCAACTCCAGATGAGGGGTGACAAAGGAGTGGAAATTCAAAATCAAGATGATCAGATGTTCTTTTCTCTACAAGCATACTAAACAGTGTTAGGTAAAAAGTTACAACGGTCATGGAAAAATCACTCTTTTTTCATTGCTTGTCTGTAAGAATATATTTGCTCTCTGCTATCTCATTTTTGTGAGTCCATATAATGCTGGATTTTGATAATAAAGATACCAAATTGCTACAGAGAAATCATTATCAATATCCATTTAAGAAGGGAAGAAGTATATAATACATGTTCTGTAAAATATTTAAAACTTTGGATACTTATAGGAGTGAACTTCACTTAGCTGAAAGTGAATTTCTGTGGATTACCTCATTTGTTCAAATAACAGAGATGAACTATGATTTCCCATTTTGAAGAACAGGTGGAAAACTTACCTAGGAGGCTTTATTATTTTTGTGAAGAGGGCATTTCCAAATAACACACCCAAAAAAGAATACACATATAATGAACAATTTCAAATGGAACTTATTTTTAAGTCTGTAATCATTCTGCAGTATGCAAATGTTGCTTTTCTTCATTTACCTTTTACTAAATGCCTAATGTGTCCACGGCACTCATAAATACATGTCTGAAATCTTTAGTCATAGTAGTTACATGATCATGTTTCAAAATAACTGAATGCTTATAGACTACTTCATATCCTGTTCTGTGATGGGAGATTAAAACACACATATTACACACTGATTTCCCTAAAATATTATATCCATTCAACATTTAAAATCATAGAATTGACTCTTCAGAGCTCATTAGCCAGACATGTGCATTTACATTCCAATATTGTTTCTTACCACAAGGTTCCACAGATCCAGCAGAGTTTTATACAACGTGCTTACACAGTTGCATAATTTTATGCTGACAAGACAGTGGATCAATGGGGCTGGAGATTTAGCTCAGCGGCATAAGTGCCTGCCTTGTAAGCAGGCAGTCGTGAGTTTGATCCCCGGTACCGATAAAAAGGAAAAAGACAAAAAAAAAAAAAAAAAAAAAGACAGTGGATCAAAACTCCAAGAAATAACTCTGTGCATACATGACTGGCAGATGCTGGGATTCTTCTACGGCTAGCCTTTCTTCCTTAAAATGAGGATCAGTTTACACAGGGAAAGATGCATTAAAATATATTTTCTGTAACTTTAAAGTAGAGAAAATAGGAACACTATGTGACAAACAGAATAACTGGTTTGCTATGGCAGTAGTGACAGATAAGGGTTGCTTTTTTTCTTTTTCTTTTTCTGGCTTGGTTTTTGAAACAATGATCATCTGAAATTTAAATCTGTTACATCCCAGTTAATACTTTTAGCTCTCATTTGTATTTTTTTGTGTTTATTGAACTGTAACTCTATAGTATGCAGTAATAAAGATATTTTTAAATGCCATATGAAGAAAATTAATCATTTCAAGCCATGTTCAGAAACACTTAAGTATTTGTAATTCTCTGGCATATATGCTTAGGAAAGACGATCATCTATTATTATAATGTTCCAAGAAGTTTGCAACAACCTGTCACGTTTTATGTAATTTATTGTGGATATAACATTCCTCTCAAATGTAAGACTTCATATTTTCAAAGGTTATTATTATTATTATTATTTCAATCAGTGGCTAAGAAAGTGAATCATTTTGCCAACACATACAAGGAAATTATTATTAATTCCATATTGAATTGCAAATCCAATGTCAGATTCCTCATTGTAATATCAAAGTCTATTTCAATTTTTAATCCCTCCATTAATGTATAAAACATAACAGTTTTCAACAGTTATTTGTTTATGAAATATAGCTTATTTTGACTATTATTGCCAAGCAATATTAATCATTGCCAATAATTAACAAAGTTAGGATAAAAGCCGCAATTTTTTGTACCATCTGAAAGTGAGAATGGAAGCCATTAGAACAAAATTATCAGAGTGATAAGAGTACTGACTCAATCATACAAAGCTAAAAATGGTGGTAGACTAGTGCAAAGACAAGGTCACACGTCTGTAGTTAATAAGCAATCACTACCACATACAGAGCCCTGTAGTGTTCCTATCATTGTCTTAGCCAATTTCCTTCTGCATCTTTTATTATTGAGAAGAATTACCACACAGTGAAGAGAGTAAGCTTTGGAATCTGAAAGAAGGCAGATCAAGCCCTGATTCAAACTCTTAGTGCTCTGACCTTCATATTATTTATCTGTATAATTAGGTTAATCCTTCATTATAGAGTTATTCTTTCTCATGACTAAATGAAATATAAAAACACTTCAGCTTTGTTACAAGGCATAATTACAACAAACTTAAAAGGAAATATTCATACTGTTTTGCTGAAATACCAGTGAGGTGATTATTTAAATCATCAGGTTAGATTCCTCCAGCAGAAAATTTATCTCATTCATCTTTATATCCCCAGGAAATAGCATAAAGCCTAATACAAAATACATTATTGCTGACTGATACAGATTATGATATCTATGGGATATTCCTATCAGATCCATTGCTAAACCCTACAGCCTTCACCTCTAGTGTAGTGATTTTCTTCCCCATCTTAATCTTCATGCACCAGGAACTAAACCCAAACTGATTGAGGGACTAGTACCCACTTTGGCTTTCTCCCAGTCTCTGTTTGCTTCTCAAGGTAAAGGGATCTTTTCAAATTTGTAAATTAACTCAAAATACACCTAGGACTCTGAGAATAAATACAAAGTCCCTAATTTAGTCAATGAATTCTGTTGTCTGGGTCCTGCCTGCTACAATATTGATTAGTAGGCAGGATCTACCCCCTAGTTCACTCTCTTTTCCATTCATATCAGTTTTCTTTCAGTCTCTCCTATGCTTGGAGTTCTATTTGTTTGCTTTTGTTTGGTTTGAAGTGTTCTTTCCCAAGCTTTGATCTAGATACCGTGGGTCTCCAACTTGCCCTTTATATATCAGCTTTGTTACTTCCCCAGGGAAGCCTTCTCTGATCTTTCTGTAAGTTCTTACAGAACCATAGACCTCTCTTTTAGAAAAAATATCAATTTATATTTCTTTGTCCTATTCTTTAATGAATGTCTGTGCATCTTCTCAATTAACATAGAAGCTCTACAACAGAACACACTTTTTCCTCAGATACTTTGAGATTATTCAAAATTTTGCTGGAGTGATTTTCATTAATATTAATATTAAAGAAACATTAAAATTCACCTGTATGGTGCACTCAAATGATTTTGAGAAACAAAATTTTTAAAGAATTTATAGTGCAATTACTTATGTATCTAATCAACTAAAGGGCAACTGAAGGCAGATATAAAGCTAATTCTGTTTCGGAGTTTGAAAGTGTATTTCCTAAGACTTAGAACCTCATTTCTTTAAATTTGAAAGCATGTATTAATTTCAGAACAAGCAATTTTTTCTAACACTAAAAGCTATAAGGAAACTGTAGGAGAAACTGAAGTATGGCACAAGCAGTAAGCAAATTTTTCTAAGACCAAAGGCTATGAGGAAACTCTGCAGGAGAAATTGGCACAATATTGTACATGCCCACAGAATAAAATCATTTACCCATCTAAATGGCTTTAAAAGGTTTTTAAAAGCATGATGGCTTAATTAATATTTTTAGCACAAGTTCTAAGGTCTTACACCAAGTGAATATCACACCATTTGCAATGAATACTAGAGTGGAAAGATGCTGTGCTATAGTTTACTTTGAGTAGAAATGAATTCTCTTAAGGAAACCAGATGGGGTTTTACTGAACCTTCATTAGATGGTAATATTAAGGTGGGTGAGCAGTGCTAAATGTTCTGTGTACAATTTTATAATTAGATATTACCTGAAACATTCTTATCAATGGCAGAATATTTGGAAATAAAGAATTCTATGCTAAAAGCTTACAGTCTGAAAAATGTGAAGAAACCTCGGAGGTTGTACATATCTAATATTAACAGTGCAGAATGCAGTTAATTGGAGTCATAGGAAAGCCATTTCATGCTGAGTAACTAAGAATTTAAGCAAGGTAATGGAATTAAAAACCCTCACTGGATTCCATCTTATCAGCTCAGTGTGCAACTGGGGAAAGTCCCAGGTGACCTGGACCAGAACAAACAAATGACATTAGGGATTCTGGAAACCTAGTTGGGTTTTTATTCCATCTCTCCCACAGCGCCATAGCCAGTCAGACCTGTAGCTCACCTGAAAAGAGACCTCAGCCACAGGGGCCGCGAGTGACGACCCTGGGCCCTGAGGGCTTTGCAGAGCCCTTCCTCGCACGTCAGTCACCGCCTGTCCTGGGAGCACTCGCGCCCGAATTTTCTCTCCATTCACTGTACACCCTGGTCCTTCCACCATCTCTCTGGCCGGCCTGTGGCCTGCAGCTGAATCAAGGAGAAGACTATGTTGTACTCTCAGCTCCGCGCCAGCACTGAAGCCTAGGAGAGAAAGTTCAAATCTCCCGCGCGTCCATCGTCCCCTATGCCACGCCCACGACACGCCCACGACACGCCCACGACATGCCCAAGGCCTGCGGCGTCAGCGCCCCAGCCTGTAGTCGCTACACCGCGCCCTCCCCCGCGCGCGCATGCGCACTGACCCCCTCAGCAGCCGCGGGGGTTGGAAACCCCGGAACAAGTCTGAGCTCTGAGCAGAAGAGAAAATTAAGACTTGGGAACCTCCAAACTTACTTATTTTCTTCTTTGCTCGTTTAGGGTTCGCCCATGTTTCAGCTAGTCAGTCCACGAGCAGTTTTTGACTTGACCCTTGCAATCTGTGCCCAAATCCAAAATTGTCCTACTCTTGCAGGCTTTTTGTGTACTGTAAGTGAACTTGAAGAGAAAACTGCAGAAAGAGGGTTTCATAGAACAGCTTTTTTTTTTTTCCCTAAGTTTAGCGTGTTTTTAGAAAAAGCTGCTTTATTTGTCAAATATATAAGCGTCTGTACTGAAAAATCTCTTGGCTTTTACATAGCCAAGTGAGATCTAGGCAGCAGTCTAGGCATCTGATTATCTGTTTTGTTGTGGCACACCCTGAGGGGAATAATCTTTGAAAGTACATTGTAAGAGGAAGGGCTCTCTATACATACTTGAGAGCAATGTGTGAAGCTTTTCTTTCTTTTTTTCTTTTGTGTGTGTGTGTATGTATGTCTTTTTGAGACAAGGTTTTGCTGTGTACTTCAGGCTGGCCTTGAGCTCACTTGTAGCCCAGGTTGCCCTGGAACTCACAGCTATTCTCCTGCCTCAGTCTTTTGAGTGCTGGGATTACAGATGTGCACCACCATGGCCACCACCATGCCCTACCAGCTGTTCAAATATGCCCACAAACCTAAGCAAAGATGAATGCACACATACATATATAACACTAGAGATTCTCTAGTTTTGTAAGTTAGAATTTGCTTCTTTTTGAATTGAAATATAGCAAATTAAAAGTATGAAGCTTACCATTGTGCTGAGTCTAAAGCAGAATACACATATAAGGATGTGAATATATTACTGTTTTAAATATAGGAATTTTAACATGTTAACTTACTTAAATGATTACCTTAATATATTTAAATATTTTAATACATAGAATTTCTATAAATATATTATTTACGTGTATTTGTATGATTTATATAGCATATGTTGTTGACTTGAATCTTAGTGGGGAATGATTAGTGGTCAAAATTGGCTAGATCAGTTACAGAATTATTTGTATTTTATTCTTCTGTTCAGTTTTTACTTAATTTTCTACATCATTAAGAGGTCAAGAAGTACTTTTGTTTTCTCCTATTTAAATTCAGTTACATTCTCTGCCCCAGATGTCCTACACTGTGTAGCTTTTTCAGTTTTACTTCTGTATTATTTATTTTTATCTAGCAAATTATCATATTTGTTTTTCAAAGTTTCCGTTGGTCAGAATTTGGCAATGATCTAGTTGGGTGGTTCTGATTCAGCAGTTCTTAGAAGGTTACAGTCAAGATAATTGGCCAGGGCTGTCATCATTTAAAGGTCTGATTAAAACTGGAAGGTCCATTTCCAAGAATGATACTGGAGAATGGGATGTTTTTGACCCTGAGGTGGTAGAAATGAGACTGGGGCAGATATTTCAAGCATCACAGTACAGGCAAAGTTTTTTGTTTTGTTTTTGGTGTGGGGGAATGACAAGAGCTTCAGCAAAATCAGATCTTTGGTTGACAGAAGAGCAAGCAATTGACTGAGTAACTGAACTAATACACATAGAATAAAGAAAGCTGCTACTCTTAGGAAAGCAGATTTGTTGAAGTTGGCTAAAATTCAGTAATTTTCATTTGCCAGTGATATTCTCCAAAAGATTTTCTTTTCCTTGTGACAGACTTGGAGTACTGGTTAGTCATAGTCAATGTGTCTTAGAAACTGTTCAATTTCCATGCATCTAGTGTCCTAAACCTGTACAGACACATCTTGACTTTGTACTTGGTGAACTAATAGATGGTCAACTTTGCTCAGGAACTGACGATTTACTCTAACAGCTGATTTCATCATCTTGCATAAACAGGCTGGCTTTATGATAGGACTAGAGGAATTTTAATGCTTGAGCTGCCAATAAAGTACAAGAGTGGGATAAAAAAGACACATACCAACTCCAACAATGGTTAGGCCAAATTCACCCTCTATCATAATTGTGGGCAAAACATTTCTTTAATGATGAGCATGTCTGTATACATCACAAAGACAGCAAAAGACTAAAGAGTTTTCTCACAAAATGTAGTCTTCAGGTCCATCAGAAGTAACTCCAGTAATTGTTACCATAATGTGAAAATCAGCCCTGCTATCTATAGCAAAGATTGTGGGGAGCAAATAATGTACTGCCTAACTGTGTAATCTCCAAAATTGGAGATTTTAGATTGACTAAGGTCATATGAAGATAGAGTTTGGTTTTTCTTTCTTTCTTTTTCCCCCCTTAATAACAACTCCCCATTTCATGCAAACATTCAGTTTTTGTGGTTTTATCAGGGACTTGTGATCGGTCCATTAAAACATAACACGGAACCCACAAGTTTATTTTGTCAGTTTCAGTCTTCTGTCCCACCATGATAGCCCCAAAGTACTTGAAGATGGCTCATTTGCAAGGCTGGTGACAGGAGAACTTAATTTCTTATCTTAAAGTTCTCTTCATACAGCTGCCTGGCTGTTCTGATGATGTGGGAGCTAACTTAGTCTAGAGTGTGTGATTTAAAGAGAATGCAAAAAGACAACAGTAATACTCTGTATTACGTAGTGTCGTAGCCCCTTTTGTACTGCTTAGCAGACCCGAAACTGGGTTTACAGTGAACAAAAATTTATTTCTGACCATCACAGAAGCTGGAAAGTAATAATACAGTGCCAGCAGGTTGTGTCTGCTGAGAGTACAGTCTCTGCTTCCAGGATGGAGACTTGAACACTGCATGTCTTCCAGAAGCAGAGAATGCTGCTGTGCTCTCAAATGGCAGAAGGTGAGAAGGCAAACCCTTTCATAAGCATACCTAATCCCATGCATGCCAAAAACCCACACCTCTCAGTAGTACTGCATTGGAATTCATTTCCTACATGAATTTTGGAGGATGCAAAAACATTCAAATCATATCATCTAGCCTAATATAGTTACTCATTCCGTTTATTAGAAGTGATCATTCTGCACAGCCCATAAATAAAGGCAATTAAATTTATTTCATACAGGAAAAGTATCAAAGAACTGTGGACATACATTCAAACAATTAACAGCTTTATTATCTGATTCATTACTTTCTTATTTCCTCTTTAGATATTTTACATTGGGGTACATTTGGATCAAATGTAATCGTTAATTAGAATTGGGCTCCCCTAAGAGCTAAGATTTGGAGACTTGACACTAAAAATAGTAAGATATTTTACTTATGAGACCCACAAAGCCAAACTAGTTTATATGTGACTAGCCTTTGAGGCTTTTGTTACATCTTTCTTCTATCCTTTACATCCAATCAAGAGCAAATCATGTGCACAACGCATGTGTAATGTTCATTTTTTAAAAAAGGCCTGTCTCTTCATAATTGCAAGGAAATCTATTCTGGTGCAAACTTGTACATCTTCTATGGTAGTGACCTATACCTTCCTTTTTTCACTTTCTCTTTCACACTATTACCAAGTTAATAGTCATGATTTCTTCTTAGGCACAAATTAATAATTGATTAACATTTTACAAGTCATTTTTTTGATACTCATTTTTAGCAGGTTTAGTGATGATGTAGGTCTGTAATTTCAGCATTCACGAGGCTGAGGCAGATGAATCACCACTAGCTCAAGGTCATCCTGGGTCACATCTGCGAATTCAAGGCCAGCGTGAACTATGTAGCAAGTACCCCTGTGAAAAACTAAAACCAAAAATCCAAGAAACTCATTTTCTTTCTATATAAAACACCACAAATATCTTTTCATGATAGTTTAATATGGTTGTTTCCATCAACATTTGTGTTGAGACTTAGTACGTGGCGTAGTGGTGTTGAGGTGGTGAGGGCTTTACAAGAGGTCGTTAACTCTCTGTGATGATTAATGTCACCTTGTAGGAGTTCTTGCTCTCATGGGACTAGATTAAGATTTTTTTTTTAATCTAGTTGTTATAAGTGAGCCCGGCCTGCATCTCTGCTGAATCTCTCTTCAGCACACATCAGTCACCACTTCTGTGTGTGTTCCTGCTGTGTGATGACACCTATCATGTTAAGCGTCAGGCCTTTACAAGAAGTGATTTGATCTAATCCAAATATTAAGCAAGTTAGAGTTTTCTTTTTTACATAGACCCTGCCTTGGGTTTTTTATTATAGCAACATAAAATAGGTTAAGTTTCCTACAAACTTCCTTGTAAATGTGTAGTTCCCAAATAAGGTAGCATATGTGAAAGCACTTCAAAAGCTATACAAATTCAAGCAATCAAGAAAAATTCAACTTCTTATTCCCGCAATATAATCTGCACTTTTTACTGGAATTTCTCCACATTTTAAGGTCAAATCATGGATATCTAGAACTTTCCATATCCAGATGCAGTCAGAATTCATCTTTAATGTTACGTACTAGATCCTTTAGAGGCCTTATGAAACCAACTTTATAAATTATTTATATACATACTGGCCATCTTCTGGTCTAGAATTGTGTTCCTTGATGATTGGAGAGTGAGTTTCCTGCATCTTTATATTTCTCATAACCCGCTACAACATTCCTTTGCATATAATAAAATTCAACAAATATTAAATTAGAAAACAATTGGAGTTTTATGTCCCCAAATATCTACCTATATGAATGTGTGCCTATGTGTGCATTTGTGTCATTCCTTTGAATTGAAATTTAAAATTTTCAGAATCCTCTTGTAAAATAAGTTATCAGAAATATGTAATAAATTGTCCTGTAACATAATTTGTGAAGTCATCAAACCAGGTACCAAGATGCTTTCCTAAGGAAATTGGACCAACTATTTTTGCATTTGTCATTTGTGTAGATTGTTTTATATATATATATATATATATATATATATATATATCTTCACAATAACTTTATATGATATTCATTGTACATATTTTCACTAGTGTTTTACAGATGAATAAAATGAGTTCCAG